TTGATCAGTATGATGTATGTATATACGTATATATATAAATATGTACAGATCATCATTCCTATCTGTTTGTATATCCTATAAATTTTCTTTTTTTCCCCTTACGGCCGTTCAAGTGCAAGAAATACAGCAAATCATCTTTTTTCCATCACCATTATCATGTGATAGATCAAGGTGATTTCATCCTCTGATTTCTATTATGTTTGGTCAGCTCTTTTATGCTCATCCATAAGTGCCTTACTTAATTGTTAGATAGAAAACACAAGTATTTATATATATATATATATATACCCTTCTCTTTATTCTCACACTCGTGGACATATATTTAGTAGCTACTACTAACACTAGTACAATATATATGTATGTATGTATGTATGTAATAAACTTGCAATTATATCCATACACAAGAAAGAATAGTACACCGGGCAAACAAAGTTAATTAAACACTAAACCGGACGGAGTAAAAAAAGGATGGTACACAATATGTGCGTGTATATGATGTAAGACGTTCAAAAAGCAAAGCTCTGCCTTTAGCACAATTTGTTAACGCTGCACACGACTTGAAACCTTGAAAAAGGAAGAAGCTGTGTATATGAACATTCATCCAATGCATAAAAGCGCATGCTGAACAATAGAGTACATCGACACACATACTGTTAACTTCTGCTAGTTCAATTTCGAGTGGGAATATTGTTTAATTAGACAAACAGTCATGAAAAGAAAGTCTGCATGTTCAATTACTTTGAAGAAAAGAAATGGTTGTCTAATATATATATTTACATCCATGTAAATATATACAGATACACACGTATAAACTTCGTCAGTAATAAAAAACACTTCATAATACCGACTGATCACGATCTCTTGAGATGAATAACGACGTTCGATAATGTGAATAGTACCATTATCATTAGATCAGACGCGTCGTCTTCGTCGTCATCATCATCATCAACATCTATAGAATGTGTTGTTATTTGTCTTCAGACTATTACATATATTACCGAACTTTTTTTCTTCTCTAAATTACTCATTATACGTTCCGAAATCTTATGCAACTTTATTTAAATACCAACCGTGTATTATAGTAAAATAGAACCGGTGACAAAAATCTTATCATTTACCGTATACATGACAGTTGCCCAAGAATAGTCTCGCTAATTCTTATTCGATTGCAGTATCAATGAAAAAACCATTATTGTTCGTTGATAGATACAAAAGAAAAGAATAATAACTAGGAAAGAGTAGAATAAGGTCAATATGATGGTATATAATATGAAATGATTCGTTACCGTTCAATCGTTTAAATGATACAATGTTACATTCGTTTGTATAATAGGAATGGAGAAGCGTAAAGAATATCAAGGACAACAATGACGGTTGAGATATAGCTGGCTAATCGTGGTATATATAACAAGCACAAGATTCGATGATTGTTACCTGAAGGACATCAAGTCAGGTAGCCTAGCTGAGTATTATGCTTTAGCCAATTCATTGATTGTCATATTTATCATGATGGATTGACCAAGAAAGATAAAGTATAACTATATCGTCCTTCAGTAACATACGAATATGTATAGAAGGATTTATTTTTCGGGATACGACAATGCTATTCGAGCAATATGATATTTAAAATAGACGTACAGAACGACGAAAAATGCAATACAATCATTGCCATGCTGATGCTTCAATGATATATATATACATTCACTCAAGAGAAATACTTATCTACAAAAGTGATATCACATTTGACAAGAAATATGCCAAATTATTCTAACATCAGCGGAAAAGAAAAAAAAAGAGAAGACGGTCACTATACATATGTTTCATATATAAACATTATCATAAAAGTACTCTTCCCCGATCATCACCGTGTGACGTATGTGTACACAAAAAATTCTCAAAATTATATGATTGATTGGTCGCGCTATATTCTTTATAACAGAATGAATGTGTAAGATAGTCTCGACATAATATGTCTATTTTCCTTTTGAATTGTCTTCTATCATAATGGTTAATTATAGGCTGTATGATTATTTAACTTTCTAATTACCATGAATATTATTTTTCTAGACAATAATATTCATAGAATTGTACGTATTTCTGCTATTCACTTCACAATTTACTCATACCTATTTCATATCTAATATTGCTTGTACATATTTAATATTTTACGAAACATCGTCTGTCTGATTAATCTCATTCTGGTTATTCCAAAAACTATGTACACATATTTGGTCAATCTTTCGTGTTTGTATGAAAACAGAAAAGGTCAACAGAAAAGAAAGTAATAACCTTATCGATCGTGACTGAAGTTGTGGATTGGTTACACTTGTTAATCAACGACATAAAACAATGACTTGCGTGTGTCAGTGTATATACGTATGAATGTGCGTGTGTAACTATCTTTGAATGATGACATCTGAATTACAATCGAGATTGTAATTTAACTTTGTCGGCATGCGTAAAGTAAACGCGGATACAATTGATCAAGACAAAATCGGACAGTGTAAAATCGATCAAAATTACTTCATATATGTACACCTCAAAAAAACGGTTATGAATGACCATGTATCATTTTGTCGTCGTCATTCTCTAACACGTAATCAAAATCAGTATAGATATATCGACGAACACACGCACACGAGCTCCTTACGATTGTATCATATGTATATATAAATTTGTATACATAGCTATAGCTCATGTACATATACGTGTGTATTCATGTACGAATATACAAGCAGGCATTTAAAGTCCGTTGAATAGTTGATTCGACTAGCAGATTGTCTACTCCCTTTACACATAATTCAAAGATAATTATCCATAATCTATCTATCACTTATAGTACATTAATTTGCAATCATATAATGTAAAATAATAATAATAAAAGTTGTCAGAAAAGAATTTTTGCTCTCTCTCTCTCTCTGTACAATCCGAAAAAGAATTATGATGCAATCAATTGATCACCCAAAAATGTTCTATTCTCAAATGCTTATATGGTTATCTTTGATCCGTAACCAATGACAAGTGCAGAGGTCGGTGATACCATATGATTAAAGATGATCAGTATTGCATATCATTATTACATATCTAATGATAGATATATGTATAAATCGAATGCTATACTACGTTGATGAATGTGACGAATATCTTAAGGCATGACCGCAATCAAGAATAGTAATAAACCAAGATAACAAAAAAAAATTTTTATATATGAATTATCTTTATTGTAATTATTAGTAAATGCTCAAGTATGAAGAAAACTGAATCGATTTTAACCTTGCTTTTCGTCAATTTGTTCACTTAAATATTTGACTGAAGTTTGATATCATACATATAATATCAAATATCGATTTAATTACATATAAAAGTAATTTTCTTTCTTAATGATTGACCTCTTCTAACCAATTATGATTTTTGTTTCGAATCCAACGAAATATTACATACGATCATCATGAACTATATTTAGATGGATAACTATTTAGATAGTTTAAGGTATGAAAGCCATCATAAAATGTCTTCAAATTCGAGTAGAGCTACTTCATTTCTTGATATTTACTCGTCCGATTCTACTATTGTCTCACAATCAAGATTCATATGAAACTTATGTATAATAGCAAAACGCTTTTGATGATAGAAATAAAAAAGGAGTTAATTTGCATAATTTAGAATGGATCAAGAATAAATCAAAAATTAAACGTAACTTCGTAGTAGGAAAATATAATTAAAAAGATTGTGAATTCTTTTTTTAATTTCTATTGGCACTGTCGACAAGAAAACAAGATTAAATTGAAGTGTATGATTTATTGCATCATTGCTCGTTGTCGAAGATCATCTATTATGCAAATCAATATTTGTAGACAGTGAATTACTATCACGATACTTGAGGTATAATTCTAATTGAATTCAATGACAGGCAATTAATGGTATTAGTTTTTATCGTTGTAGCATAATTAACACAATTGCCATTCTGAATAGTATGTTAAACAAGATGAAAGATTAAAATATGGATATGAAAGACAGATCACCATGTCAATAGCATGCATCCATTTGACATCGTCGACTGTTTTTATCATTGAACGTTGTGCTTAGATGACAGATTCCTTTTCTTCCGATCTGAAAGATTCTCTGAAACATCAAATTTGTTTTCACGTTTTATCTCAGAACTGATATCGACTAAGGTTAGACACAGTGAACTTTGTTAGAAAATCAGTTAAATTCATAGTCGCCGTCGTAGAAAAAAAAGATACCAATCACATGTAAAGACTTTTTAATAAAGAAAAACAAAAACAACAGAGATGACAGAGATGAAAAGCAATACTAAATTCTATTTATTCAATGAGAAACATATCCTTCATCTAGATTTAGTTTTTTCGTGATCTCATGAGAAAAGAAGATTATTTAACGTAGATAACACTCCATCGGTACCCAGAACACGAGAAGCGTGTCAAGGACTATTAATGTCATTTATAGTCTCACTGATACTTTTGCTACGGTTTCTTCTTATTGAATGTATGTCAAATGAGGCAAATAAAATCTAATTAGAGAAATCAATAATATTGTAACGCTGATTTTCACCATTTCATATCTTTTATGGTACCATTTTCTCAAATTTGGCAAGGCATGCAAAAAGCTGAATCGGTTTTCACTGTACTTTTATTAAAATATTGCTTTTACAGAAGAATGAATTTGACGAGAAAAAAAAGGTATAAAAATCTATTGAAATATGTGTCGTGTCATCAATATTTTCTTGTTTACCTAATAAAAGATAAATCATCAGTAGTTCAAAATTCCTATTAACTATTTGCTAGTGACAAAAGTTTCATGTGGTGCGCTGAATTTCGGCATTCATTTTTCTATAATTAAGTTCACATAAGCGTAGAATATTAATCTCAATGATGCCAGACAGTACACTAGGAAAAAATAGTAATAAATGAATACGATTCGAATGCTATCAAGTCAATTTTATTGTTTAATAATTTTAATCAAATTCAACTAAAAACAAATCAAGATTTTTGTAATCTTTCATATTGTCTAATTTCGTTTTCATCGAGCGACGGAGTAAAATTTGCAAGTGCATCAGTAAAATCACTCTCAATTAAATGAACTATTTGATCATATTCGTCGTCTTTTTCTTGATTATTTGTAATCAGTCGTCGAATTGCACTAAGATAAGCACCGCTTGCTAACGCATAAAAGTCGGCACCTGTCATGTTCAATGGGCATGCGCGTACAAAAGCATCTGCATCGAATTCTTCGTCAACAATTTTAAATCTAGAATTATTTTTAATACTAATTATGTCGTACTTTTAATTTTAATATTTATTTTACTTTTGTGTTAACGCTTGAAACATTTGTCTTCTATCATTATGATCATTACTAATACCAATGTAAATAAGTTTATCAAATCGACCTGGTCGTAGAAGTGAATCATCTAAAAGGTCTGGTCGATTCGTTGCACCAATAATAAATATATGATGTTCTTGTTGTTGCTGATCGATTTCTGTTAATAATTGTGATACAAGTCGATCACTCACACCCGATGAATCCGATGATGTTCGACCACGACGTGGCGCAAGAGAATCAAGTTCATCAAAAAATAAAATACATGGTGATGCAAGACGTGCTCGTTCAAACAGATCACGAACATTCTGTTCACTTTGACCAACATACATATTCAGCAGTTCAGGTCCACGAACTGACAAAAAATTTAAAGAAAATTCGGTGGCAACTGCCTTTGCTAATAATGTTTTTCCTAAAAATAAAAGATTCGTTTTTGTTTTCCTTCAAAAATATTTTTTCCTACCTGAACCAGGTGGACCGTAGAGAAGAATTCCAGTTCTGATAAAAAATTTAAAAAACTTCACATAGCTTATGATTAAAATTAAAATTTTTCTTAACCAGAGATGCGCAAGAACAAATCTCTATGATGTCGGTTTCGGTCTTGAGAAAGCTATTCTTGAATGTATGCATGCCAGAGTTAATATGTAGGAATTTCGAATCATTATTATCATCATCATCACTCTTGGATGATACTCTGGTCGGTACAATCTGTTAGATGAATCGCCGAAAATCACGACATATCGAAGTACACTACTCTTTAATTTCAATAATGACAAATTTTTATTTTCTCATAGTCCTCGTTCAAGTAAGCTCGCAAAGTTTGTTCACGATTTCACATATCTCTTAATACAGTGTTGCTTTTTACTTCACAAAATGTATTTTTTCCACGGAGCATGTTACATTTCATATTATTTTTATTTATTGACGACTGTATTTAGACAGTTCGGATTTAGAAAAATTCATAATCGAGTAAAAAAATCTCTGAGTTTGTATAATTTGCATACTTAAATCAAAGTAATAGTTTGTAAAATTAAAAAGAAAATTTCATTTGCTTTCGATTTACTGTCTTGAACTAAATCATTTTACTCGTAGTTAAATTTCAGTCTCCTTTCAACTTCGTTACGATTAAATCGCAACTGTAACATATCTGTACGTATTGATTAGCAGGAAATTCTTACCTTGCTAAATCACCAAACAAATCAGGATGAATGAGTGGTAATTGGATGGTATTTAAGATTTCTTTTTTAGCCAAAGCTAATCCACCAATATCACTCCAACGTACATTTGGTATCATTGCTTTACGTTGACTAGTTAATTTTGAAGCATGACTTTGTTTCAATGCGATTTCAAAATCTGCATTGGTTAACATAGTTAGCATGTCAACTGATCTATTTATTGAAAAATATGACAATGAAAAGATTAAATTTAATTAGTGAATATTACTCGAGTGATCGCCAGTATGCAGCTTCAATAGTCAATCGAATCAATTGATCAATTTCAGCTAATGGCCAACCTGCCACAGAATTTATTAATTTAAGAAAAAAAATTTTTTTTTGAAAATTTCATCTGACCTTTCGTTTGAGCTAAAACAAGATCATAATTAAAATCATCGGCTACTGAAATATTCGAAAGTCGATTACGTAACCATTGTTTCCGTATTTCCATTGGAATAGCCTTTTTGAATATGTTTTATTTTTGAATTTTAATTCTAACAAAAAAATATCTTACTGGAATAGATAATGTATAACTGAATAGACTCAAAACTTGTTCACTTAGTAAATGAAGACGTGACACACCTGCCAAAATAATCAGAGGTCCATTATTAATTAATGTTGATCTGACATGTTGAATGCATCTTCTAAGGCCATTAGTTACGATAGCATCATCATTTTCTACATCAGTTAATTTACATAAGAAATTCACCTAGAATTATCATAATTTTGTTTTTTTGTAACATAAATTATCATAGAATTGATCTTACATGATTGAAAAATAGAACACATGGCGTACATTTCCCTGCAAGTTGTATAACTTGTTCAATACGTTTAATGGTTGCTGTTGCAGAATCACCAGTAAGCAATTGACTTGATACCTAAACTATCCATATAATAGATAATATTATATATTTTAAAATAATAGATATGCACTGTATGACAATGATAACCACATTGACGGCAAGCATAATCAACAAGTGAATTAAAATCATCAAGACCATGCAACAGAATGGTTGGTATAGATATTTGTTTTGACCATTGTAAATCAAATGTTGTAAACATTTGGCATAACCGTTGACTAATAAATACAATTGTTTCGTCCGTACTTGCAGAAGAACCACTTAGATAATAATAAAAAAAGAAAATTCGATTTACTAATATTCAATCAAGAATCTTTTTTTCTTACGTTAAAGTTAACTTTTCTTGGCGAACTTTTTTTGTATCAATAATAATTCGACAATTATCACATGAGACAAGAACATCTTCTTTTGTTACAGATGAAATAAGAAAATATACTTTCAATTCTAAATTTAAAAAAAGATTAATTAATCTCGTATTCTAGTATATTTGCACCTGGTTGTAACAAAGGTCGTATTGTAATCTGCTCATTTAATTTTACTCGACGTGGTTCACTAAAATAATCTTGTAAATCTTCGTCAACATTAATTGTATCTGGATAATTAGGTGAGCGAATCAGAGATAAACGTAACTCCATACTTTTATCTGAAATGAAAATAATTGGTGAATGTATGTAAAATAGAACGCACAAAATCGAATTTTTTCCCAGTTTTTGATTCAATATCTACGACTCTAAACTTGTTTGGCAGCAAAAATTCTTACTACCAATAAGGAAATTGTCTACATGTTTAACTGATATTTGTTACTAGTCATCGATGAAATAGTCAATTAGACTTTGCTACGAATAAACAGTTAAAAAATAAACTAAAATACATCTGAATTCATGATATATTTTAATTTCGAAAATCATTGATATCTGCCATTCGTTTAAAATTTTCTATTGTGTATATGCAATTTAGCTGACTTTACAATTATGAATTGTGAATAAACGTCGAAACTGAAATGCAAGCGAGCTGATGAAGAAAAAAACACACGAAGATATACATTTTGAAGTTTTCAAAATTGAAACACAGATTTAACGAAAACATTGTGACAACTAGTGAACAATGAATACAAGATATATAGTTCAAATTGTTTTATCAGCTTACTTTTGGAATCACCCACGAGTAGTATTTTTCTTATTCTACATCAACTAAAATGTATTCCCTATTGATGACATATAGATTAAAATTTCCCCGATTTTTCGGTACTTTAGAAACATTCTAAATCAATATTTATTGCATTCTCAATATTTTAAGAAGAATACTTCGCGGATATTTGGATAGTCCTCAAACCTGTGTAAATAGAGTTCGGATGTAATGGTTCCAATGAAGACTTTCGTGAGTCATGGATTCAGAGATAAACAAGTTACTACAACAGTCATAACTTTGACCGAATCAGATGTCAACTCGAATTATCTTTCATAGTTTTTCTCATAGTCAATATATGAAAACATATGGTTTTCGAAAGTCAGATTCACTCCTTCATAAATCAAAGTTTTCAAAATCACGGACTATGAATCAAGTACTATACATATATTGATTTCGTTTATAATTTAAAATTTGTGACATATTTACATGAAGATTGTTTGTAAGTAGAATAGTTTTTCAAGAAGACAATAATTGAAATTTTATCGAATAAATTCAACTAGTACAATGTGTTGACGTAAAAGAAATGATTAGAGAAGATAGTAAATTTCGATATTGAATTACTTTCCATGACAAAATATATCTTAACATGCAGTGACGAAAGAAAATCGTTTTTTTTCTGGCTCTTTGCCCATTTCATTTGGTCAAAATAAAAATCATATGTATCTAAAATCTAGTCTATTCTCTATCATTTATTTTCTTTTAAATCTTATTTTTCAAATAAAATTGTTCAAATTTATTTTTTTCTCTCGATTTATTTGTATCTCTTTAATATATAATAACAAACAGAAAAAATGATCCAAGAGCAAAAAAATTTGAAGATAAAAGAGGAAAAAAAGAATAGTTTTGATCACTTCCAAAGTTTTTTTAATGAAACGTTCTTTTCCGAATCTTTTTGCATAACCTAAAAAACAAAGGAATTTTCCATTACTAAAATATATTTAAGCAGCAAAAACAGTTACTTTGGCAACAGCTAATTCGAAGTCTTCTTGTGTTACATGTACACGTCGTTCTCGAAGTGCATACATGCCAGCTTCAGTACAAACACCCTGAACAAATAGAAATATGCCTTTCTAATAAATAATTTGATTATTTTTTCTTATTATCTTTACCTTAACTTCAGCACCTGATGCGCCTGGCATCATTTCAGCAATTTTTCTTAAATTAATGCCACGTGTTAAATTCATTTTACGTGAATGAATTTTAAGAATATCTAAACGAGCTTCTTCGCTTGGTGCTGGAAATTCAATTTTACGATCAATACGTCCTGGACGTAGAAGAGCTGGATCAAGGATGTCAATACGATTAGTTGCCATGATAACTCTAATTTAAAAAAAAGAAAGTATATCAACACCAAAACAAAAGCATTTCATTCGATCATTACTTAATATTTTGTTTTGGCTCAAAACCATCAAGTTGATTGAGTAATTCAAGCATAGTTCGTTGTACTTCACTATCACCACCAGAACTACCTTCAACACGTGTTGAACCAATGGAATCGATTTCATCCATAAAAATAATTGATGGAGCATGTTCACTAGATTTCATAAAATATTAATTAAAAACAGAAACAAAAAAAATTTTCTATTTTACCGAGCCATGACGAAAAGTTCTCGAACCATACGTGAACCTTCACCGATAAATTTTTGTACAAGTTCAGAACCCGATACACGAATAAAGGTACATTCCGTATGATGTGCTACAGCTCGAGCTAAAAGTGTTTTACCAGTACCTGGTGGACCATAGAGTAAAACACCCTAAATAAAAAGATTTGCATAAATGAAATTAAATAATTATTAATAAACTAAAAAAAGAAACAAACCTTCGGTTGACTGATACCCAATGCATCAAATAATTCGGGATGTTTAACAGGTAATTCAATAACTTCTTTGATTTCTTTGATTTGCTTATCAAGACCACCTACCATTTCGTATGTAGAATCAGGAACTTTTTCTACCATCATTAAACTAACAAGTGGATCAACCTATCAAGTAAACATGTAGGAATACTATTGTTTTGTTTTCTTTTTGAAATTTTTACCTTATTGGGTAAAATTTTATGTAATGTATAGCTATCATTTTTAAGAGCAACACGACAGCTTGGTGTTACTTTAGCCATATCTATATTTTTGTCGAGATCAACAACAAATTTACCTTCTGGATGCACCTAAGAAGAAGAAAAAACAGAACATATGATCATGAGAAAAAGAGATTATCAAATTCGATTTTAATAAAAGCAAAAGGATCGATCATTTGCGTATTGTTTAGTTCAATGATAAATTACCTTGACGAGTACTTTTTTCTTGTCCATAGCTTTCACAACTTCACCAACTAATGAACCTTGTTCTTGTAACAGCTGTAATTCTTCTCGTAACATTCGAACTAAAAATAGAACATTGATAGGGATGAAAAATTTATATATTTGAACAAAAATATGTCATTATTCTGTCTGGGCTCGTGAGTGTAAGGATTCTCTTCATTCAACCACGCCCTCATATTTGATTCTTGTTACAATTTCATCAAACATAGAAAATTGCTGTATGAATAAACAACAGGATATCTATTGTTTTTTTTTGTCTCCAGTATGTTACTTATGAGAAATGTTTCTTTCATCTACCTTTAGCATTTAGTTCGTTCCGTTTTGCTTGTAAACGTCGTAGATTTTGACTTTTTTCTGCTACATTTAACTAAATAAACAATATTTTATTATTTTTTAAACTGAAACTTCCTTCACTGATATTTTTTTCTTTATAATTACTTGAAGTTCTTCAATTTTTTGAATATAATATTGTTTAATACCTTCATGTGTATCGCCTGATACTGTTGTAACATTACTGGCAGGTGTGCCAGGTGTAGGTGTTGATCGCATAATTTCAACCATTGTTTCACCAGCTTCCATAAAAGTTAAAGAAAAATTTAGTTTCTCCTTTCCTATTTATCTAAAACACATTTGAAAAAAGTTCATCACATATTTGTTGAAAATTCATTTTATCAAATCTATTTTTATCAATATGTTTAAACACAACTAATTTTTTTGTTGTAGTAAATAAATCTTGTGTTTGTTGATCGTAATTTTCAAAATTTTCTATCATCTTCATTTCAGATTGGTTTCTCATTTTTTCAATTAACTGACTTCGTTGACGAGGATTTTTCAAATAAACTATCATCAGTCTTTGCTGAAAATTGATATAGATAACATAGGGTTGATGTTTTCGTGTATTATTTTCATCGTCATAACGTAAAAGCATATAGCCAATATCATATATGGGTAAATCAACATTTGAATGAATAAAATTTTTCTTTAAATCTTCATTTAGTTGATTTAATAAATATTTTCTTAGAATTTTCTTATCGGGCATTAATTTATGCCAATGATTTAAATACTCAGAACGTTGATTAAATGGGAAAAGTAATGATTTTTCATCGAGATATATTTCACGTAGTTTTCGGCATTGACTATATAATTCATCGACAGATATTTGATCATGATTTTGTTTAAGATAATGAAATTGTTTTTGAAAATCATTTTCAAATAAATAACGAGCATTTTTTGCAAACGAACCAGTTAAACAATAAAGACGTTTATTACTTTGACCTTTCGAATCAACACGAACAATAAGAAAATCTTCTATTTCATTTGTTGATGACACATGTGTACCACAGCATAATTCACGAGAAAATGATTCATCAATATTAACACAACGAACATCGGATGGATAAAGCTCATTAGACAAACGATAAATATTCAAATCAGAACGAATTGAATTATAATTAAGGGAACTTATTGATATTGGAAGATTGAGATCAATGGTTTCATTGACCTGAAATTGTAAATCAAAATTATTCATTAGTATGAAATTATCTTTTAAAAAAAGAATACAGTTCGTTTTGATCTTTAAGATATTTATAGAAACTTCACTGAAACGTTTTTTCTTTTTTGAGTCGAATGAAGTATTTGCTACTTTTATCTTTTCAAGTACTTTCTAGTAGTGTTAGAATTTGTATGATTTAAATAGAATTTGTTTACTTAATCACTTTCGAAAAAGCTCCATTATGATTTAGCCAAAATGTCATGATCTTAAATTAGCAGAGTTTACGAAACGACTTTATGACACTTCAATGGAAATAGCAACAGTATTTGTTTTTATTCAAAAGATATATTGAATATTTTATTTATGGAGAAGCAGTTACTTTTACACTTTGTTCTATCGATGGGAAACGATATGCCTACGTTTCTGAGAGTAGCATATAAATGTTTTCGAGATAAAATATCTAAATATTACACACAGACACCCGAATGGCGCTTTAGAAAACGATTGTAGTTATCGATTCTTCACCTTCTTAACGGTACACAAAGTAGGAGTAAATGTATTCAACAAAAACGACTAAGGAAACATTGATCATGCAGATTAGACGAAATATCTTAAAGCATCAATTTAAAAAACAAAGTAACTTACACGTTTTTCAAGTTCTTCAAAAATGTTGTTATTTGCATTCGTATTAATTGATGAATATTCAAATATAAAATAATCTTCATGTATTAAGGATGCTTTTTGTATTAAATTTGAATCATTCAGTAGTTCTCGTAAGATTCTATTAACTAAATGTGTTGTTGTATGATTCCTACTTAAATTTAATCTTCGTTTCATATCAACATGACAAACAACGTTTTTATCATCTATATTTTCATTTCCTAAAAAGGAGCCATAATGAAGAATATGTTCATGAAGACGAAACACATTTCTAAACAGAGAATTTAGGATTGAAATTTTAGAATTTCATAAGTACTTACTCGACTTGAAAAATTAAATTGTTAGAAAATTGAATTGTTCCATGATCAGATGTTTGACCTCCACCAGTTGAATAAAAATTAGTGTGATCAAGAAGAATATAATATTTGCAATTTTTATCAATTGATTGAAAAACAGTCAATTGATTTTTACTATTATTATTTTGAATAATTAATTGTACTTTGGCATTTAGAGATTTATCAGCTTGATATTTATATGGTTCATCAATGGTTTGTTTCAATGAAGAACATTGTTTTATTAAATCTAAGATTTTATCTGTCGGATGTTGAAATACATTTTCATTGGTTTGCATAGTTTTATTATAAACTGAGAATATTTTACTTTTACGTGTTTCTTCACGCATCAATTCTTCAAAATTTGACCAATCAAATTTAATAGCTGGAAATAAGCGAGTATAATCTTCAATCATTTCTAATGGTACATTAACATGATTAATTTTGCCAGCATATAAACGATAAATATCATCACCAGATATAAAATAATCTGATTCTTAAAATGAAACAAAAATGATATCTCATCCATATCAAATAATAAATACTAACTTAAAATTTTATCCTGAATAAATTTTTCAAGTAAAGGTTTAGCTAATTTATATTTTTTCATATAATTTACTTCGCAATATTTAACAATTTCCATTGTACGATTTAATTTTTCATTCAAATCTGGATACGCTTTAGAAAGAATTTGCGTTGCTATGGGAATTAATTTAGATATAATAGCAACATTTTCTTCATCAATATGTAAATATTCATAGCTAATACGTGTTGCTCGTTCAATCATTTTCTTTAGTAAGCCTCCAATACCTTTTTTCTCTGGTATGAGACCATCACCAATAGCTATTGTAAACATTCGAGTGTGATCTGCTAATAAACGATATGCATATTGTTGATTTTTATTTGCTTGAGAATAAACTGGGATGGAACATGATGGATGACAATAAGAATGAATAGTATCAAAAAGTGGAGTAAACAAATCAGTATCATAATTCGATTCAAATGAATTGAGAACAGCAACAAGACGTTCAAGTCCCATACCAGTATCAACATGAAAATTATGTAAAGGTATTAAAGCTAAAAAAAAGTAGATTAATATTTATCTCTGTATGATATAAAATTTCATTTGAGTAAAACCAATAATAGAAAAGCGTATTTTCGAACTTTTCTTTCATCGTAGATTCTAAAGAACCTAGGTTCAGCATTGAAAACTATTACTTGTACTCTGAGGATTATTCGTAATTAAATCAACATTTATCATGGGTAATTCTAAAACAACTAATTTTCACCCTGTTAATATCAAGATGTTCAAAGAAAGTAGAAAAATAAAACATTATTATGAATTCCGCCTGTCGCGAATGCTTTGATTCTTGAATGATCTTCGTATCATCAAGCTCACATGCTAAAATCGATGAATTTTTCTTTCCTTAGAAATTGTTTCGCTTGGTTGCGTACTGCTTCGATTGTTCGCGAACAAAAAAAGTAGAGTCACTATGTTTTCTTTTTTAATCTTACATTTATCTTGTCGTCGTTCGTATTGCATAAAAACAAGATTCCACAATTCGACAACACGCGGATTATCTCTATTAACTTGTAGTGGATCTCCTTGACTTGTATGATCATAATGTATTTCAGTACATGGGCCACATGGTCCTATTTCACCCATTTCCCAAAAATTTTCTTTCATTCCAAATGGTAAAATTCTATTTGAATCAATTCCTAAATCCATCCAAATCTGTTTGGTTTCATAATCGGGTTGAATAAGATTGTTTTCGCCATTAAAATATGTAAAAAATAATCTGTTTTTTTCAATGCCATAAATTCTTGTTAATAAATCATAAGCCATTGTACATGCTTCACGTTTAAAATAAGAATTATTAAATGACCAATTTCCAAGCATTTCAAAAAATGTATGATGATATGTATCATGGCCAACATCCGATAAATCATTATGTTTTCCACCGACACGAATACATTTTTGATAATTAACAACACATTGTTGAGAAACTTTATCCTGGTGTGACAGAAGTATACTTCTGAATTGATTCATTCCACTGTTTACAAAATACGTTCCAGCATCTTTTGGTGGAATGACGGTTGATGATGGGATATTTATATGAGGTATTTGAGAATGTCTGGTAAAATAATCGACAAATGTTTGACGAACACGAGATGATGACCATTGTAGCTGATGATTTGTTGAATAATAACGAGCACAATAAATAAACCGATAAGATGAATTGATAAATAACCTAAACAAAAATTATTGGATTGAAAATGATTATATTTATAAAGTCGTAACTACGAAGAAAAGAAAACTTCCAAGCACTAAAACAACTACAATCGGACGATTTGATAAATATCATACAGCAGCATCCGATCAAAATTTCTACACTAATAAAGTTCAAAAATACTAACTTAATTTTTTCAAAAAAATAAAATCTTGTTTATTACAAAACTATTCCTATCAAATGCTAAAATTTGATTCTACCCTACACATAGACGGTCGCAATGGAAAGCGTTGAGGGAAAGCGTAATCGTATATTACTAGGTTACGGTGATGGTGATTATTATGACATTAGTCTTTGATAAGAAAAGTTACTATCATAATCATTGCTAAATAAACATTAAAAAAACAACTTGCACTCACATCGAACAGGTTCAAGATGGCGTCCAACAAACTGTAACAATCTAAAAATAAAATAAAATAAAAAGACAAAACGTTGATATCAATTCATTGATTATAATGTATTTTTTTAACTTTGAGAAATAGTACTATACAACAAGAAAAATTCAACCATTTTGATCGTATTCATTGACTTCCAAACTTTCTCTTCTGGACGCAACAGTAGTATTAAACTATTGTTTTCTACTATTCGATAAACCGTTAACAATACATTTTTTGCAATATATAGATGTCACTGATTCACGATCTCTTACCGCCGGTCGACATTTCAAATACTTTCATTATTTGCTTTTTTTGAGTGCCTTGTTTAATTGAATCGACAGATGATAATAGATAAGTAAAATTGTGTGTTTTTTTTTCAGTTTTGTTTTTTCTCAAAAAAGAAAGACCACACAAACCAAGAGAAGAGAGAGAAACGCACATAACAAAGAAAAATAAGGAACGAAAAAGAAAAAAACGAAAAAGCGAGAGAACTGAAAGAGACATATAAACAATGGCTTAGGTTTTTTTCTTGTCACATACATAGAATGTCTATGAATGAACAACTAGCAATTAGTATAGAAACGAAAAACACTTTATAATCTTTTAGTATTTTGTTTTTTTATCTCTGTCTGTTCACAACGCCAAGCGTACACAACAAAAAGAAAACGAAATCACGCAGAAAAAAGGAAGAAGAACAACATCAAACGCAATGACAATTTAAAAAGTACAATGAGACTAAATGTTTCATGCTCGGCTCTTCTGAGAGAAAGAGTCCGTTTCGGTTTGTTTCCCCAAATAATATCCAACAACTAATAAATCAAATAATTCTGTCTATAGCAGGAAGAAATATATATAAAAAAGAAAACAATCAAACAAATAAACAAACGGAAAAATAATATGAGAACAACGCACGTAACCAGAATATTTGTGTTTTTTTTAGGCTGATGATAGTTTAGAAATACACACACATATAGACATATAATCAAATAAACATCAACTCTATACAAGATAAACAAAATGAGAAAGAAAATATAGACGACTAGGGTTTAACAATCGCAGTTTGCTGTTGTTGTTGCTGTTGCTGTTGAGTTCCAATGGGCGCGTTTGGAATATGAGGAAAGCCACGTGTCAATGTTGTTAATAAACTAAAAATTATAAAAGCAAATAGAGTATAAGTCACAATTGATTTCATTTGATTATATTCTTATTTATTGCGAAACATTTAGCTGCTCAGCATGTTAAACTGAGAATTCTTTAAATCACTCAAGAACGCGATACAAGTGTTTGTTGTTGGAAAAATCTCTGATTTGTAGATTTAATCATTTTTGACTAGATCCCGAACCGAAGTCATTCTCTACTCTTAATCAATCTTAGGAGCACTGTCTTAAGGTTTAGAAATAAAAAATATATATAATAAAAGTTGAAACGAACCGTTTAACGTCCGGTGAAATGCTCATAAATTCTCGAGACCATAATTTTAAATTTGGATTTCGTACAAGTTCAAGAAATGTTATTAATAATCCCCATGGATGTGGTCGATTAGCAACGAGCCGTTCAAGTAAAACTCTAGAAAAATAAATTCAAATATTCATTTTAGAGGAAACAGTAACAAGAGGAAATTTTTTCTTTTTGGAAATAAACATACCGAACAATTTGTTCTTGTAAAGCTTCTGAATTTGCCTCAGCAAATAAATATAAAAGTGTATAACTAAAATAATGCGTATGCGTATTTGGATATCTTAAATGATTTGCCATGGCATTTAAAAATATATAACGTCCTTCAGTATCTAAATCGACGGCTAAATTTTGAAATATATCCATATGAGCAGAATGTGTTATTGATGACATCAATGGTTGCCCATTTGTTTTATTATTTAATGTTAATAATGCTTGTGTAGCAACATATAAAACAAGTGCATTTAACATTCTTATATTATAATGTGAACCAGGATCAGCACCTTGTTGTAAATATGAACGTAATTCAGATAGAAATGTAACTGGTGCACGTGTACGTAAATATGAATCAAGATTTTGCTTAAATTTTGGTGGTTGAATATTTTGTGAAAAATTATAAGCTATCACCGGTACAATTGAGATATCATTAAGCATATCAACTTTGAAATTAACCAAAAATGGATCGGGACAACGCATATGTTTCGGAAATGCTGATAAAACAATATTACGCAATTGATGTGCTATTAATGGCAAGGCATCACAAAATTGATAATAATGTTCGCATAAAAATTCTGGAAAATCATGTAATAACAGCATAAATGTTTTTAATATGCCTTTGAAATAAACTTGAAACGATTGTGCATGTTCACCAGAACGTATAAATGGTGTTACTAAACGTAATGCATCAACAAGTAACAATGCATACATATTATGTGTCTGACGCGTAAAGCGACCAGCTGATAAAAGTAGACGTGACATAAATGTTCGATGTGCAACAATTTCAAGCCAAGCAAATGCAAAGCCAGGTACACGTTGAGGACGCAAAAGATGTAAACAATTTGTAAATGCCAGGTAAATATAATACATTGCATATTCATTAGTCGATGAAGTGTCAGCACCGGGTGTTGTACTAAATAGAAATGATGATGAAATTAATGTTCCGAAAAAAGATATTTAAGTTATTCAAATCAAGAATTAAGGAATATGAGTTTGCAATTCTTGATGTATCATATTTTATATATTCTAGAGATCGAAAGTGAGATGTCTCAATCGTATTGTGAGATTAGTGCATAATTCAGAAGAGTCGTGATTATATTCTGTCATAGTTTTATGTCAACACTTTAATGGAGAATTTCAAAATTATTCTTACTTTGACATTGTTGACGTAACAGCAGCTGTAGATTCTTGAAACAAGTTAAGAATGATTCTTTGATAAGCCAATGGATGAAATTGATCACCTTGTTCTTCATGATCAGCAAAACAATGTGCAGCTAAGATTCCTAATATACGATTAATTAAGTGTATTCTCGACGCATAATTATTAATATCTGATGTATGTGTTGTTAAAAGAGATAAAAATCGGCAAAGCGAATCAATGCCTTGATGGCAACGTGCATAATGGGCTTGTTGTGCTGTTGCTGTCGATGTTGATGATGATGATGATGATGTTATTGGTGGTGCTTGTCGAATAATATCATAAACACTATTAACACATAATTGAATTGTCATACGAAGAAATTTGGCTATTGTATCATCTGAACGAAATAAGCCTTGCATGTTCATCTAAATTTAAATGAACAGAAATAGTATTTATTTTTCTAAATATAATTTATTTTTATACTTGATTGAAAACGCCTTGAAATGATTGCTGTTGGCTAATACGATTCGTTTGTGTCATTGTTAATGTAACCCAATCACTTAGAATATGTTTAGCTTTATTAGCTATGGCCGTTGTTTCTATTTCATCCGTTGATGTCAAATATTTATGTCCATTACTTATAACAGATAATGATATAATAGCTAATTTATCGATTTTAGCATTTGATTGAGCGTTTGCATTTGTATCATTTGTCGAATTTGTTTCATTCGTTGCTGCTAATGTTGTATAATTTAATCGTATAATTTCAAGTAAATCTCGAACAGCTTCAGCTGGTTGTTTACCAATCAATGATATACGATGAAGCGAATCAAGTATGGATGCGATATCACTATCGACACAACATGGATGTTCAATAACACAATTACGAAGAAAATTAACAGCAAAATGCAGTGCTGGATTATTTCCTGAATCAATTAATTGTGCAACATGTGAATCCATTTGACGTATATCAAGAAGACGATTACGTAAAAGTTGATTAACAGCATAAACATTAAATTTAAGTTCATTTGGACAATCTAGCCAGGCTTTTGTTAATTGTTTACTAATAAGTGACATATGTAAACGTATTTCAACAAGTAATTTTAATACACTCATATGAACATGTTTAAAACGTTCTAAATTTTCACCATCTTGTGTTTGAGCTTGAAGTGTATAATGTTCTAGTAAATTATAAATTATTATATTTAACACATTATTTAATGCGACTTGTGGTGCATTTGTTGATGTTTGATTATGTAAATTGGTTCGTAAAACATTAACATTTTCTAATAATCGTTGTAATGCATTAGCAAAGGTTTGATTATGTTGAGTTGATATGATTTGATCAATTTCAGCTATTAAACGTTCCCATACGGATGGGCCAGTCTCATCCATCTAAATGAAAATAAATTTAAAAAAAAGCTGTAAGCGCAATCCCTTCGGGATTAAAATGTGAAACACGACGTAACTGCTAATGGGGATCCGAAAAAATTATTAATCTATATATATTTGAGCTTTTTATTTCATTATACGTTAATGCACCACCTACACGTGAATAACGGAAATAGGTCATCGATTTCCTGATATTCTGGCATTATGTGGTCGTTCACTGTACGATGGCGTCCACTAGTACTCAGCTAAATATATCATAACTGCTCCTCTCTCTCCCCGAAGTCGCTAACCCGTTTGTGATAGTTCCAATGCCTGTCTCTTAGGGTGTGTCATGGGTAATTAACTAATTATAACGCAATCGGCTGTTTCATTAATTAGAATATATGTGGAGGAATTCAACTTCCTACCCTTAAGGCCTAAACATTCCTATATATTCGCCTTAGACAAAGCTTATCTGTAACGGTCTGTGATGGTACCATCACCTAACGGTAACGGTCTGTGACGGTATCATCACCAGTCTGTAGCTATCTGTTATGGGAACACTACATGACTGAAACCGTATTTGCTGGTATCATCACTTGTGAGCAATGCTTGTGTTTGGAAATTACCTGTCGATAACGATCTGGGATGGGTAAATTACCTGTCGGTAACGACCTGTGATGGGTATACCCCCCCCCTGTCGGTAACGGTCGGTGGGGGGGGGGGGGGTCTAAATTTCTACCCATATACACTTCAACACTCCTTTCAGATCGTGTTTCACAAAGCATCATAATATTGTAAGAACAAGTGAGTTGCTTTTCTTAAACAATTATCTAACAAAATAATAATACGATGGGAAAATTGCAAGTAGTGGTAAAAAACAATTAGTGTGTTTATAATAGTAAGCCTAATTTTTGAAAATTTTCATGTTTGATTCTAAACTAACGAAGAAACATTGAAAATGCTTATTTTTCCTTTTAAAATATGTAAAATTGAAATTTCAAAATTCTTGTCTTTCGTTCATGTGAGAAAAAAACGTTGCATTTACCGTAACAAGTTCTCGTTTTTCATTGTCACTTGGTTTAAAACCTGGAATAAAATGAACAAAATCTTCATAAATAGCTAATTGATGTGATGACAATGGCCCGTAACGTAAACGTATAGGTTCTAATAATCTATCTGACTGAAATTCAGCTACACTGGTCGCTGTTGGTAATTGTCTTCCTTCTAATCGACAACGTTGTCGAATTTCAATATCACCAGCTAAACGTTGATCAATTAATTGTATAGCTCGATGAATTGTTATTCTTTGTAAAAGGCAACAACATAATTCAATATTTGAAGCTGCAATTTCTGTTGCTGCTTGATTAATCATTTCACGTGTTTGACTCGATAGTTGATCATTGGCTGCACCATTCGTTACTGTTGTTGTACTAGTTGATGCTGATGTATCATTATTATTATTGTTGTTGTTGTTGTTGTTGCTGTTATTGGTGTTGTTATTGTTGTTGTTTGTTGTTCCCGAATTGGCTGCTGGTACTTGTGGAACACCAAGAACTGTTTGTAAATGTGTTTTAATATAAGATTGTATTTGATCTTGTAATGCTGGACGAGCTGTTATAAGAACAAGACCACTACTTAGATAAGCAACCATATTACGTGCTGATGTTCGTAATTGTTGTTCATCTGGATTTAGAAGAAAATCTTTTCGTACAATCGTTTCGGCTGCACTTGTGGCAACTTTAAGAGAACGTTGAACTGTTTGAAGACTTTCATTGATGGCTTGTTCAATGGGTGAATGAATATATGTTTTAAGACGTGGATGATGTTGAAAGAGAAGTATATTTGGATTTATTTCAAGCATAGAACTTAAAGATTGAAATATAGATGGTTTAAAGTCCGATAATTTATATTTGGGTACAGGCGGGACTGTTGATACTGATGATGATGACGAAGAGGAGGAGGATGGTGTTACCGATAATGTTTGTTGCTGTTGTTGAATTGGAATAGGTAATACTGATAAAGTTCCTGTTGATGAAGACTGTTGATTTGTTGACAATTGATGATAATTCAAAATAGCTGGATCATTATAAAGTGTTGATGATGCTGTTTGGTTTGTTGATTGTTGAGATTGATAAACCATAGATCCTATGTTAGATGTTTGGCGATTATTATTTGATAATTGTTTTTCAATCTTATCGAAATATTCTTTATTAGATAGTGTATGATGAATTGGTAGATCCTAAACGACAAATAAAATACAAAATTTTTCATTCAATTGAATAATCAAAAGTTTTTTAGAATAGGCTTCTCATGTGAAAAAAAAAGTGAATCGAAAGTCACTCTTTTAATAGTAATAAAGCAAAAAATAAAGTAACTTCTCTTACTATTTTTCAATTTTTATAGTACTTTCTGACTATAGTACTTCATCATACTTTTCTTACTTTCAAAAGTACTCATCAGTACTTTTTAGTCAAGACGTATGAAAAGTACTTAAAAATGTTCACTTGTAAGTACTTTGGTCTGCATAAAACCTACTATTTAAAGTATTCAATAGTCACTTTTTGAGTAAAATTTTTTACATGGGTTGTAAACTAATAACAATTCACTTCTCTATTTCAAATGAAATCCACGAAAAAAGAGATTTTTTCATCGAAATTTTTATTATACATTTCATCTGAGAAGAATATGGTTGATAAGTTTATTGCGATAGAGATTATGCATTTTTCATAATATTCTTTAACAGACTCACGTTTGCTCTAAGGAATACTAAAAAAACTGATTTTCACTTTGGATATAGGCAGATTTTAGTGATAATAGTTCATCAGAAGATTGCCTGATCTTTTTATTATTTCTATCCTAAGATAAAACCATGATAAAAACTATGTCTTCCAAATAGTTTCTATATATCAGCACATTCTATATACTCATTTTCGAATAGAAGTAAATTAAAGGACTTCCTACTTTTACAATAAAACTATTCTCATTTGTGTGAATCTCTGTGAAAATCAGTTCTGTTGAAGTTTAGAAGCAGTGTCATGATACGGACACGCAAAAATATTGTTAAAGTTCAAATTTCTTTCTAGATGTTCATAGTTACCTTCACTTTAAATGAAAAATCACAGATTCTATTACACGCTACTATTTATCGTTTCAGCAAATTGCGCTATCAATTAAATTCTCGATATAAAGTTCTTTTTGAATTTTCGTAAAAATCTTTTCTATCAATGAAACTTACAGTTAATTGAATCTGTAATTGTCTGCAAAGTACTTCAATTTCAAACTTTAAATTCAATTTAAAATCTGGTGTCGAATGCATTTCAGCAAGAACAGACATAATACCCATTAGCCATGGATTTGGTTGTTGAAAAATCTATTGAAATACAAAACGAACGAAAATCTTAGTCTAAATTATCGATTGACTTTGCTCCATTTCTTTACTTTGCTTCGTGTACATGATTCTAAAATCTTAGCTACAAATGGTACAACATATAATAATTCTTGTGATCCCATATGATATGCTTCAATAACTATAGATTTTATTTCCAAGTCCTAGAAAATATTTTTTTAAATTATGATTTTTTGTTTTTCTTTTCAATTTTTTTCTGCAAACCGTAGCAAGAATTGGTTTATTTTTAGCGATGGTTATGATTCCAAGCCAATGACCGAGATTTTTTAATAATGCACGATCGGGTATATTATTCATTTGTTTATCACTTTCTAAGAGAATCTATGAAGAGAAAAGCAAAGTTAAAAAAAGGAGAAAATATTTTGTGCTTGTTTTTACTTTAATATTTCGATGTGTTTCTGTTAGCACAGTATCATAAAGAATATTGACATTGATTGTATTTATAAAGCCAGCATATAATGAATGAAAATTGGGTTCAATTGACGCACGTTTAATGACTAAATATTGTGCAACCCATTTCCATAATTGTTCATCGTTACCTAAAACTTCTTTTAATTCTTCAGCCTATAAAAAAGAAAACATCAAATTCGGTCACATAGAAGCATTAATCATCTTATTTAACCTTTTGAGACAAATTAGCAAATGATAAATTATTAAATGTAAATGAAACTTTATCATTAATTTGTTCTGGTGGTGGTTTAACTCGTACAAGAAGATAACTTGGATCACTCATCAATGTTCGAATATTTGCGTTTTGGGTTAACGATGGCTAGAATCGATTTCAGAATTAGAAAAAAAAGACAAATTTTCCTATCGTTATAATTTACTCCTTTTTGGGCTGGATTTTCTCTTCCGACACCAATATTACCAGGTACATATTGTTGTGGATTAGTTATCGGAGGACCACTATTCATACGTGGAAACATATTCGATGAGTTCATCGTTGAATGAGGTAGTTGTGGTTGTGGACTAACTGTTACTGGAGCTGATAAGCCCGATGTTGGTGTCAATGTACGTATTGGATCGAATTGTTGTTGTTGAATAGGTGGTTTTGTGCCATATTCAAGATACTCACGGATATTCAGTGGTATTTCCGAATAGGTTATTAGACTTCGTAAACCTTGTAGAAATGTTGGTTGTTCACGGATTCTATATAGAATTTAATCATATTATTAAAATGACAAAAAAATACAATAATAATTTTTTCTTTGATAATCTAACTAAACGACGTGTGATTTCTTTAGATTTCGTAGACAAAGTCAGAGAAAAAACTATGAAAACAAAAGAATTTATCTTGTAATAGTATTGTCTTCTTTATCAATATTTGAGTCATCCAGTTAAGATAGGATTAAAAGAACAATAAGATAAAAGAGAACTAAGATAAGGGAAGAATTTAAAAAATATCCTTTAGCTATACGATCAAGTGCGAACAAAAGCGTATATTCTACATGTCTATTAATAAGTGAAAAAGAAAATAGTATTATTTTAAAATAAACTGATAAGAGATATATGAATTAAATTGGAAATTTCAAATAGATTAGTTTGATAGTGATAGACAAAACTATTTGCTTGAATTTGTGTTTAAAGATATCGATAACTATTACCTATTCTCTGTTCGGTAGGCAATCAAGAGGTATGTTCACCAAGAAAATACCACACCCCGCCCTCTCATTCTATCATTCATTGATGATTCACAAAATCTTTTACGTTTTTGTCGAATAACAATGATTCGTTTGAATGAAAATCATTGACTTCCTCTCGGGTTGTATTACTGCGCTCGAACCCCTCCCCTGGTAAGCTTACAAATAATTGTATAACTAAAATCTCATTTTTGCTTGATTTTCAATTAAAATAATTTTATCAAAAACTTATGATAAAACAAACCTTGCTTTGCATCTATCCAGTGCTGTAACACCAAAATTCCATAGGTTTGTTCCGGCAGGTTTTTTTAAACCTTCTAAAATAGCACGATATGCAGCAATTAAAGCTTGTTGTTGAAATAATCCACGTTCGAAAAGACCACCGAACAGTTGTGCTGTTAAATGTAATTCTCTTTCAGGATATTGAATATAAAATTTATATTCTTCAAATAAATTTCTTATACCATTATGAAAGACATCCTTAGAAGAGACAAAATAAAATGATAATTTTGTTTTTAAAATTACAATGATTTTAGTTTTTACTTTTTCTCGTTGAATTTGAGAATCTTTACAACGTGTCATAATATCAAGAAATTCATCAACAGATATCGGTGGTGGATTATTTGTTTTTGAATACAAGCGTTTAAAATAAACATCAACATCAGCTATTTCACCCATAGATGTGGTTGCTGTTGTCGCTGTTGTTGTTATTGTGGACGATGATGATGAACCAATAGCTAATGGATCATTACCATTCGAACCTATTTATGTTTCGAATAAGAATGGAAAAAATGAAATAAATAGAGAAAAAAAAAGAATTATTTTCTCTCACTGAGAAGATGTTCGCTTGGATCCATCATCATTTTCTAGTTAATAGAATAGAACTATGCTGAACTTTTCACTTTCTTTCTCTTTTTCTCGCGCACGCTGTTTCACTATCCCATAAACAAATAAATACATAGACCCTGGATAGATCTGATCATATACAACTTTATTTTTGCTGTAATCATCGCATGGTTTGTTAGGATATTGTTTTGTCAAAAATAAGAGTTATAATAGTGGACGTATCGACAAATCTCTATTTTTCTCGCTGTTTTTTTTTCTTTTTCTTTTCTTTCCTCTCTCTCTTTCTGCCGCGTTCTTCTGTTCTATTGCTGCTATTACTATTATTTCCACTCATACACGCACAAGTCCAAGTGCCTTTTCTCCATCTCGGCCGCCGTTTTTGTTTTTGTGTTCGATGACGTACGCGCTCGTTCTTCTCGTTCTCTCGATGCATACATTCACCGTGGCATCCTCTACTATGGACGATTTTGACGTGGCCGCGGCAGCACACGCTCATATTTTAACATGCAAAAGCGACAGTTAAAAATAGGAGATTTTTCGTTATTATTTGTAATTACTTAGTAGTGAACGTAATTGCGCTGTTAATGAAAATCCATTTGATGGATTAGTAGGTGATGGTGTAAACGATGACGAATGATGATATAATTGTTGTGGATTTAGTGACAATGATATCGATGAAGGTCTTTGTAATGTCTGTTCATTAATATTTGTATTTGAAAAATTGTTTCCTGTTGTTGTTGCTGTTGCTGTTGTTGTTCCTGCTATTGTTGTTGATGATGATAATGTATTAAAAATTTTCGCTGTTGATAACATTGTTGGTATTTCTTGAATAAGATCCCTATTTGTTATGGATGATAATGCTAATTGAAGAACAGCTAATAGAACATTAATTGTTTCAGCATTTGATATTGGTTTAAAATTGATATCATCTTTTGATAATGGTGGTGGAAGTAGTAATTGTGGAGCTTTTTTTCGTAAGTATTGAATTGATGTTTGAACAAATAATTCCTTCGATTGAAAAAATCAATAAAACAAGAAACTCTTCTAGACTTTTTAATTACTTGATGTTCACGTAATTTATCTGATAACCATTTATCTAACTTTAAATAGCCACGCCTTGATGCTAGACAAGCAAGATCGAGTATGAATGTCATTGGTTTGGCTCCAAGTAATGTTGGTAAACTTTTTAAATCTTGTACAACTTCAAGTACACGACTAAGACGTATTTGCTGTTCAATGTCATTTGCTCGATTATACCAATCAGCTAATGATGTTAAAAGTGTTGTTCGTAATAATGTTGTTTGATGCTTTTAAAAAATTAGCGACAGAACAAAATTATGAAACGCTCCATTTGAGTTTTCTTACTTGTGAATTCCACATATAATTAAGCAATAGATTTGCATTGGGACTATTGGAAAGTAAAGTAGGAATGATTAATAATAATAGATCTTGTTTCAATGTTGTCCATACACTCTGAAATTATACAAGAATAATGATTTATAAATATAATACAACAATTAGAATGAATAACTTTGGATCGTATTCTTTTTGTGTGCGTTTCCTATAAGTACGATACTTTTATTTGAGTTTGTTAGTCTATTTGATCTATATATTTTTTTGTAAACTTTTGTTTTTTAATTTGAAATCTTACATAGATAATAGAAATATTCGTTTGCAATAGTTTCATTTCTGTCTGATGATATTGTGGTAATGCGATAGTATTTAAATTATTACAACATTTCAGCGAGATGATTATCTTACATAAATATATCTATGTCTAATAACAGAGTTTTGAACAGTCTATTTTGATCACTGTAGGGTTTTAAAATACGCATTACAATTCATTGTATCATCAAAAGCTATGAATTAGTGTTCCTTTGATTCACTGACACGCCATTAAAATCTATTAAATCATTTCTCTTTTAGCACTGTTGTGTTAAACAACTGTTCATTTTGACATCTGCTACAATTATCATCTTATTTAAGCATCTATGAGTTCTCAAGTGTTGTGTCAATCACTCCAACGAAACAGTATCGAGTGCTGAAATCATACAAAATGAAAATTTTTGTAATTTGAGTAATTCGTAGTTGAATGCTCTTGAATGAAAGATTGAAATACAATCATCGAATTGAAGATCCCTAATCAAGATCATCTAATGAATATTAACTATGTAATACATTAAATGTCTGTCGATGAAAAAAATGTTGTCACTTTGATAGAGAATAAAACGCAAGGAGGAAAAAGCGATTTATGAGTTTCATGACTTTTCTGAGTTTAGCTGATTTAAAATGAGTTTGAGAAAACGAAAAATTTGCTAAACTAACTAAAAACTATTCCAAATCATAAATTATTACTGAAAATCATTCAAAGGCACCGAAACTCACGCAAACTCATTCCAATACAGTTAATTTATATTGATTGTAAGTTGAGTTTTACTGTGATTTAAATCAGCTTTTTCTCCCTTGATAAAACGCGAATTCAAAATTCTTCTTCTGATCATCTATTTTTTTCCATAGTGAAACGCAATCAATCGTAAAACAGGATGATAGTTCAAAGTAAAACATTTGAAAATTGACATTCACTCTTATATTGTTTTCTTCTATTTTAACAAATATAAAACTGTAATCGGTAAGATCTTGATAAATTTCACTCAGATCATTCGAAAGTTTTCATATAACAATTTCGTAACATACCGTAAGTTGTAACAAACCAAGAAAGATTAATTCACCCGCACGTTGTATTCCATGTCTAAATATATCTAGTACAGTTGGATATAAACCTGTATCGGCAATACGTAATAAGCATTCGATTAAATTTAATGAACGCCTAAATTAACAGGAAAACAAAAGGAAAATCTAAAAAGTAACTTTTTTTAAGACGTTTTTTACCAAGTCCATATTTCTTTTGTATCATCTAGTGGATGTTTTAGACAATCGATTAAAACAGGATGTGCTGGATGATCACCGAAACAAAATATATCTGGATAACGAATAGCTTGAGTTATCCATGATAGCTAACATGAAATGCATTGAATTTATTTTAAGAAGTTTTTTTAAATTTATTTTCTTACTTGTCCTTCTACGTTATTCCATTTTCCATAGAGTAAATCAATATAAAGTTCAACTGGTAAAGCTCGACGAAGTGCAGTCACCAACAGTACTAAAGCTTGTCGATCACTTAAAAAAAAACCGGGATGATCAAGTTCTTGTACAACATCTTTCCAATTTACAGTTGGAACCTATCAACATAAATTTTTATTAGCAGAGAAATATTAAACATTGTTCTATGTTTGTGTTTCTTCTCATACTAAGTCATTAATTGCAAGAACAAATGTATCAATATTCCATGTTTGTAAAGAACTTTTTTCATTATTTATTGATATATCAGTACCATCGGAATTCTAAAGATCCAATAAACGTGAAAGAAAATAGTTTTTTCATAATCAAGACTCACATAAATGTGTGTGTTTTCAGTAAGACCCGAATGAGTCTTAATCATAATTGAAAGCATTCGAGCAATTGTTGATGGTTTTAATTCTTGTAAACCAAAATGAACAAGTGCATTTCGACAATCTTCAACACATGCCGTAAAACTATAGCCCATCTCAAGAATAACATCAGCTAGAGAATCATCCATTTGCCACTGAAAGAAAAAAAATTCCCATAATTAATTTCATTTAAGAGAGCAAGAAAAAAGAATAGTATTATAATTTGCATACCACATTCGTTGACAAACTACTTGAATCTGATAATAACTGATTTGACGATGGATCGATCGATAGTGTAATAGACGAATATAGTAAAGGTAACAGTATCAATGAGCCATTATTTCCCATTCGTTCTCTTGGATATTCTATAATTCAAATAGAATACAGTTTCATTTATAAATTAATTAATTATTCAACCTTGTCGAAGAACATCGAGGAATCTTTCATAATCTTCAGAAGTAGTCAATGGTCCTATTGACTCATTCGATATATATTGTTGAATGAGTAGTACAAGTGAATGAACTGCTTCGATAGATAACTCGGCTAGACCTAGTTCATTGATGCCATTATCTTATTAAATGAAAATTAAACGAATAAAAACTGTAGACTAAACAAAATCATGGTAAATTTTTCTCCAAACATACCACCGGATGCAATACGAATGAAATCAGGTAAACGTTGTTCTATATGTTCATGTGTTAATTGCTGAAGTTCAACATGTATGGAATTTCGCAAAGCAAAAACAAATAGAAGTTCTTGTGCACGAGTTAATTTAAAAAATTTACATAAACTTGTTAAAAACCCATTGATACGTGATGAAAGTTTAAGTGACTAGAAACAATTGAATATTTTCATTTTTGTAAATTTGACTATAATTTTTTTTCCTACTTTTTGTGTAATAGCTGTGTCGAAAGCATAACATACTAAAGTTACAAAATTCGATTTAGAAATTAATGATGGAAGTTCTTGTAACCAATAATTTAAATGAATATTTTCTGAACGTTTAATTGATGAGCTATTTTGTTCGATCGATTCTAAATCAAGATATGTTACTAGCGTTCGATAAAAATGCCGTTCAGCTTCGAATCCATTTTCTGATATGAGCTAGAAATTTAAAAAATCACAAACAATTTATCAACAATATAAAAAAGTTCTTTTTCAAGAAAAACTATACATTAGCTATTTCAATTGTTGAGCTGTTGAAGTTTTTCTTTGATAAACTTTTTAATGTGAATGAAATCTGAGCGATTGCCAATGAAACTGCATTAAGATTCATTTTACTTGAATCGGCCAAAGCCGATGATAATATTTGACTTGAAATGTTTACAGATCAGATAGCGTTTAATAATAATAATACATATAATCTAGAAAAATAAAAAATAACTAATCTCTCATTGATTATTCACTTTATCAATTATAATTGCAAAAAAAAAATTGTTCGAAATCTTAAACAAATCAATATGTGATGCACGTGACAGAAAAATGTCTAAGAACAGGCAAAATAAAAAAAGAGAATTATTGTTCTTTCGCGTACAATGGATGGGGACTATGGTTGACAAACTATGAACCTTGAAAAATGTATCCGTCAATCGATATCAATGGTTTATTGATTACATTAGAATGTGATGTATGCTTCTATACAAGAGAGCGAATATTAACACACAAAATTTGCTACTCAATTTCTTCGATGATAGATGTCACTTCATAACAAGTTGACAAATATCATTTGATACAATGATGATCTTCTTTTGAAGCATATTAATCTCTCATTTAATGAGAGGTGTCCAAGGACTGAGGATTAGGAACTCCTCATCAGTTCCCCTACAGTTCCTTGCATACTAAAGGTAACAATAAGGAATCTTCACGATAATTTTTGTTCTTACACTCATTTTCACTTGCAAAATTTTGAGAATCAATAATTTCATGCAAAAATTATTTTTAAAGCAGTAATATCGTGACTTTCGTGAATAGTGAAACTGTAAAGGAACCGATAGTTGATTCCCATCTCCTCCAGGAATTATCACAGTGACCCTGGCAATTCCTCGGCACATTAGGAATTCCTATTTCTCAGTCCTTGGATACTGCTGGTTTCGTGTATTGTTGTTTTAATGCATATCTACAGTATTCGTACTCGTTAGATAGATATTTTCATTAGTAGAGATTAGTGAAAGAGTGTGGTAACTCTACTATCGAAATGTGCAAAGTTTTTTCAATGTGATTGTTTTAAAATTTCTATCCTTAAACAGCAGCACAACAGAGGGTACATCTCTGTACATAGTAAAAAAAAAGAACGAAGCGAATAGAAAACAGTTGCCAAAAAATGAAATGTCATAGTGACAAGTAAATAACATACGTAGGTAAACATATACCAAATAGAACGATTGATATCATATTATTTACATTTATTCGTAGATATTTTATAACGTTTAGCATGCTTATATATGTAAGTGATAAATTGTTTCGAAAGGTTATAAATTTCGATAAATAATGTGAACAAATTAAAATCAACTATGAATATCTCTAAATATAGCTTTCTTCGACAAAAAAATTAGAATTAGTTACCAATCACTTAATCAGTCAACAATATTTATTGCTTGCACGAACTTTAGAAATCTCCAATTGTTCAATATTTTAACATGAGAAATGATAGTTAACATTCATAATGTTTGATCATTTATTTATTACCAAAAAGTCACATTGATAAGCTTCGAAAGTATGGCAAATCAATTAGTCATATTCTTCCAATAGGTACCATTGTTAGTTTTATTCCAATTTTGTAGAAAATGATGAATTCTACTATCTCTTCGTGGATGTCATTGTTTCTTATTCGTGTTCTAGTCGATTTATCGATATTCTCTATTTTTTTGTTTGATGCACAGATTAAAATTCACATGTATCGACTCTCTTCAAAATATAATATCTAACATTACTTGCGTAGAGAACCATATAGCAAATCCGGAAACTTATGTACCCATTTGGATTTATTTGTAGATTAGAACAAGAATCAGTTTCTATTTTGTTTTAATAATTGATTAATGATGGATGGATCATCTTTTGTGTCTATTATTATAATTGTCCGCGAACACAGACTCATCTCGTTCTTTTTACATGAGTAAGGTGCGAAAAGTGAGCAGTCTCGATATCAATCTCTGTTCGTTTCTCTTCTCACTAGAAAGTCATCATCATCGTCATCATTATTTTCCTTTTTTCTTCTCTTCATCAATCAGTAAATGACTTTTTTACATATTTTTTTTATTCGTTCTCACATTTTGCACATTCGTTTTCTCGTAATTACCAACATATGCACCGGTTGGATACCGTTTCATGTATGTATATTCTGTAAAACACAAACACGATAATGATGGACAAGAGAGGAAACAGAAGAAGAGCAGAAGAGAATGTCCACGAAATATGTTCTCGAGAACGCGTCCGATTAAAATTCAATGTAACTCGAGTCGTAGCAGTGTACCAATGAAAAAGAAAAAAGCTAATTTTGTGCGGTACAAACGTTTCAATTAAAGAGTACAAAAGACTGTACAGTCGAAAAGTATGTCATTGGACTTTGATCCTGTAATCAGTCGACATCAGATGGATTCGAGAACTTTTTTTTCTTTGTAATGTTTTCAATCTGTTATTCGTAAAACAAGAAAAAGAAATTGAAGCAAACTTTTGCACAATTTTCTTCTAATAGATGGCTTTTGTATTGAAAGTAGTATAGACTACAAGAACAAATATTTCGTCATAATCTGATTGAAATTAAATGCACCATTCAATAATAATAATAATAATAATAATAATAAAAGATGAAAACCTATATTATGTTATTTTCTGTGAAATCTATTTTGTTTCATGTATACTATTAATATAGTATAGACTAATAAAAAAAATCTTTAAATCTAAATTTGTATGATATCTAAAATAATATAAAAACGCTCTTACATTCAATCAAGTATTGCACTACTTTAGAAACAGTAAAATTATGGTATATTTATCATAAGATACAATTGTAAGTCTGTGTAAATGAGAGAAAAAAGTCAATTTTTTTTAATATTATTTTTGATATTCATAGAGTCTACTACAAATTTAATGAATGAAAGATACATGAATCAAGTTTATTTCAATAGGAATAATTTCTTTTAGGAAATAACTATTCAAGTAATTATTAATACTATAATTTCTGTGTAAATAACGTTTATACGGTATGGAATCGATAAGCGATAAGTTTTAATGTGATGAAATGGAAAAACAACGTGCATGTTTCGTTTTCATTGTATTGCAACAGATCATGTTAAAGATGTTTACTAATTGAAGTACAAACGGTATTTTCATCTTTCACACTTGTTATTTGCTCAATTATGCAAGCGATTGAGTTTTATTCGTTCTCACTCTAAGATTTTTATATCTGTGATGTGTCAAATCAATATTGTATGAGTATCGATAGAGTTGATTAGTCTTTTAAAAGCTGTTAAAATGGTTGGATAAATCAATGAAGAGAAAAAAAAGAGAACGAAAGAAGACAAGAGAAAAAAGCCTTCAAAAGATGAAACGAAATTGTTGTAAAACGGTGTGAAATTTTATCACTCCTATTTGATTCAAGTGACCAACATCTCATTCTATAAAATGAAAAAGTCAAAAAGATTGCTTCATCAATCTAGCAGTAGTAACAAATAAAACACAACAAAAAGTTAGGAAGAGTTTTATGATTGTATGAAATATAGGTAATTTGTAAATTTCAAAGAGATCAAGATAGAACTATTACATCGATGAAACGTGCTCATATCTAAAAGGAAAAACGAAACTATCATTTCCGAAGTGATATGTGCGCGTGTATGATTGATTCGATTCACTCCTTGGCGGCATATGTGCGTGCGAGATTAATAAGGCAAATATATAAAAAATAACAAAAAATTTGAGAAAAAAATTTATATGTGTGAATCCTCCGTTTCATTTTCGTCACGGATCGACCAGCACTCACCGCTCGTTTGATCAGAAAAAAAGATGCTAATTGTTATGATGAGATTATCCAAAACAAAAAATTAAAATTTCTTGGCACTAGTAAAATTAAAACCGTCTACTCTTGCATACACTTAAACGAAGTGGCCTCTCACTGTTATCAATAATATCATTACTCTCAGATTAACTTTCACGCATGCTTAAAACTTAAGAAAAAAAAGGACACTTGCCGCTGCTTGTCACTAATTCGGTGTGTACATATGCATATATTCGATCGTTCGGTTTTTTTTCCTATGTTTTTTTTCATTTTTATTCTTATCAACAGATGAATTCTCATTGGATAATAATTCTCATTGGTTGCTACTGCCCTACCGATTGGCTTTTTTTTTCTTTCTAGAACAAACCGGGAGCGAGCTCGACTACTCATACACTCATCATGAGATATCTCTATATATTTACTGTGCCGAATTGGAGAGAAGCAGAAAAAGAAAGAATCTAAAGCAGAGATCGAGAGAAGAAGGCAGAGAAAAAAATGATTATCATAACTTCGACATTACTATTGGTAATCTCTTTGATTTCTAAGTAGGATAGAAACATATTTTATTTCCTTCATATCTCAACTGGAAAAAGTTTCGTTTGAACTAAAAATATTCTCGGTAGGTTTATATAGTATGTATATGTCTATAGATATAAATAGAGATATGACATCAACAAGTTGAGGTAAATAGCGTTTCAGTTATAAAAAAAACATGATACTTGCGATGAGAGCCCTAATTGTGTCTCCATTTATGACATACTCTCACCATGGGTTGTCCCAGAAAATTTTATGATCATTTCAGAAGCAACAAAAATTTCATTTATTTTATTCGATAAAACGTCAGAATAGAATAAGATATATATTTTTTTTCTTTTGTTTTTGTTTGATACATATAGATACGAATTTTTCAATGTCGCCTGTATTTATTCCAAATCCGAATAAATTCTGTGCTACACTAGATTCTTCATATATGCCTGCCATTTCATTGAATAATACACAAATTCGAACTTTAATTAATATTTATCCACCACCTCCAAATTCAATAGCATCTCTTCTACCAGCAAATTTTACAATGAATCCAACAATAGATTCACGTAAACAACAGACTCCAACAACAGTTGCTGCTCAAGCATTATATCAATTTTATTTTCCTCATTTATTTTCTCTTCAAAATCAACAACAAACACATGAAATCATTGATCGTGGAATCAAACGAACTCATCTTTTAGATGGTAAGTTCCATATTAATTTTTCGTGATTCTTTTTTTCTTGCTTTTCTTTATTTAATCATTGATTTTTCTCGTTTCATTCAAAGAATCTTTATCAGTAGAAAAACGAAAACCAAATACTCCACACAAACGTTTTAATTTTGCTAAACTAGCCGATGAAGCTGTTAAAGATAAGAAAGAAATATTGATTCCTACAACATCATCGGATATCAGTAGTAACAAAATTGATTTATCTTTATCATCAACAGCATCTTCTCAACCAGCACCAGCTGCTATCACTAGTGGTGTTTCATTACTTACCTCTCATACTACTCTGTAAGTGTTGTATATGTCTTTGTTTTGTTTATTTGTTTGTTTGGACTTCTGGGGCAAAGATTAGTTGAGTTGTTGTCATCATCATGATGATCATCATCACACTAGAGTGCGAGTGAAGGAGAAGGAGGAGGAGAAGAAGACGAAGAAGTAGATGGTCATGATGATGATGGTTATCGGATAATTGAGACTATCTAGATAAGATGAGGACCGAATAACTGACGCCTGTATTCACTTTCTCTTGATAATTAGAAGAAAATAGACAAAGAAAACAAATAAAACATTTTGTTAATAGATTTCTTTACAAAAATCAAGTACATATTTTGATTAGCTCGTAGTTTCAAGTATTTTCTATGATAGAATGAATATTTCTATATCACTAGTCTCACGATTGATTTCTATCGATGTCAAGTAAATAAATAATTGATATCGAATGAAGAAAATCTAAAGATTTAAACATGTATATTTACCAAAAAAAAACTTACTCAAATTAATATTTAGTAAACATTCTAACTCTTCAACTCATTCGGCATTTCAACCAGTATTGATAACCAATAAAAATACTTTAAATAAACTATCTCGACGTTCATATCAAACAAACAATGCTTATAAACACACTAGTATCAGTGGTACTAAACGGTAAATTATTTGTTTGAATTTTCAATGAATATATATACGTATATATCACATTTCAAAACTAATTATAATTGTAGCAAAAAAAGAGCCAAAGAACATATATGTCAATATTGTAATCGTCATTTTACAAAATCATATAATTTATTAATTCATGTTCGAACGCATACCGATGAACGACCATATATATGTGACTTGTGTTTTAAAGCTTTTCGACGACAAGATCATTTGAGAGATCATAAGTAAGTTTTATTTAATTATAAATCCATTTTTTTTCTTAACGAATCATATCTTTTCTTTTCAATAGATATACCCATTCGAAAGGTAAATAAATAAATGCATGAGGAATGGAATGAAAATGTTTATTTTTTATTTTATAGAAAAACCATTTAAATGTCATGATTGTGGTAAAGGTTTTTGTCAGTCACGAACACTTGCTATGCATAAATCTACTCATCAAGAACCGCCAAATCATCTTGGTCGGTGAACATTTGTGTTTCTTTTTGCATTTTTCTTTCGTGTTTATATGTTTCATTTTCTTTCTTCTTCTTCTTCTAAGCACTGTAATTAAATAAAATAGAACATGTTTTAACAAAGGACGAAATGATTTGTTATATTAGTTTCATAAAACAATGTTGAGTAACGATTAACAATTCGTGATCGTCTTTTTACTATCATTCCGTGTATCATCAATAAAAAATGCGGAAACATCGGATTTGCATCCGATTGTTATGTGTACTTCAAAAAGCGAAAATGTACATCCATTTTTTCCTGTAAGGCATAGATCTCATCAAGATACATCCCTTCTCACTAAATTACAAGGAGAAAATACAGGCATGCTAAGTTAGCATGAACCGCACTGTATGCAACTCTATCCAGTGATCACTGACTCTACTCTCAGCGTGATATAATATCTTTAGAGATCACAGAAATTGAGCTCAGATTCGTGTTCAGCTTCGGAAACTGGATAAGAACAGTTATTTTTGAATGGTTTTGTGTTTGTATCTAGCGGGATTACGATCGTAAGCAACCTCATGAATTTATAAGAGATATATGATAGATACGGGCATCAGTATTTTCATAATAAATCATCAATAGTAATAGCAATCGAGTTCGGTTTTTTACCTTTCGATAGTCCTTTTGACTAGCTACAAAACCAGACGTTTGAGAAACCCCCAAACTGCTGGTCATCTGAGACATATCTAGGTAATTTGGTTTCTAGATGCAGTTTTTGTGTATTTTGAGACCTTTCTCAGTCAATGTTTCGTTAGAAAGCTATGATTTAGTTCAAAACCAATATCAAATTCGGAATCAGCGTTAAAAACTGAGTCGATTTATATATGTTGTGAATAATTCTGAGAAAATGGTTTTTTGAAAAATCCCTCTACTCCCTCCCCCTCAGGGATGGTCTGATCAAAAATGACAATTTTTTCGACAACTCAGCCATTTCTTGACGGATCCTTCTCATCTTCGAACTCGATCTAGATATTGATAAGACAATTCTGTGCACAAAATTTCAGCTCAATCGAATGTAATTGTAAAGAGTTATCGAATAAACGGACGGTCGGACACACTGACCGATTCTATAGTGTACTCTTTTTTTTTGAGTACACAAAAAACATACAAAAAATATGTCTTGAATTATTTTCTTTCAACTTTTTCATATTTAACCACGTCACGATTTGAAGAACTTATCAATTCTATTCTATTCTATTGAGACAGTAGTGACTTCACCATGAATAGTTCAGTGTATTTTTGTCTTCGTCATTCTCAATATCAATTATGATGTGCCACTGATTTATATAGGATTTTCTTTGAAGAGAATGTATCACCAACAAAGAAAAGGAGATGATTTCATTTGTTTGTCACATTTATTATTCTGTATGACGACTACTCGTCTATTGGACAAGTATAATGACATCTTATAGGAATATATAAACTTCTGCTCAAATAATGAAGCCACTTGTTATTTCTAACAAATAAATTATAAATTGACGAAAGCGAATGCTACACTAAAAGATCCACTGCAATCACCCATAGTGCTGTAAACAAAAATTTGGGACAAGAACACTATGTATTCATGTTATTGACTTAACAAATCAAACTACAAAAACATAGAAGAAAATTTTTATTAATGGTGAACAAGTTAAAATGCACATGAAGACTATCGTTAGAAAGTGTCGAAATTCGACTATTGGCGAATACCAACGCAATCCTCGAAATAATTTTGATAAACTAACGGCTCCGATAACAAATCTTAACGAAAAAGGAAAAAGATTGAACAACCGATGACTCATCATAAATACATACGAATACGAATAAAAATAGCTATAGTGTTTTACGTAATTTTTATTTCTCTATTGTAGTACGAGGATTTCTGTGTGAATGAAGTCTAAAAGCAAATAAATATTCTGAATTGATATGTCGCTTTCAATAGTCCGATAAACATATAAGAGAATATTAAAATTCAAAACATTCCTAGAAAGAACTTTTTATTTTCACGAACATCCATTATAGGAATCAATTGCAAGCCATAAATTCTACCGACAATTGTAATTGATCCTTCTCATGTTGAAAAAATACCAAAAATATAATCCCATGAGTGAATGTAGATATATGTATTACAACATAAATAATGTAGACTACTCCATGCATCAGTTCAATCTAATGCATTAAAAAACACATGTCATTTTCATCTAATAAAAAACAAATCTGAACAAGCTGAGCAATACTCGTCATGTTAGACATGCTCTTACAGTCAGTTTACAAGCTATGATACAGGTCTTTATGAGAGCTTTCAATTGAACATCTTAAAAAACAGCGAATAGTTCTTTATTATTTATTGCTTTAATTATATGTAGGAATATATTTTAAAGATACCTTATGAGTCCCTTAAGCAAAGATGAAACGTTATCTTTTGGCTTCAAATCTACTTGATTTGACTGCTATACGCACTCATCCCCACCCTCAAATATAATATAGAGAGAAGTGTATGTACGATTGCAAGAAGCCAATATCAACTGCGTTAGAGAATAACCATCGATTTGTTTTTGTTTTGAGTTATATTCATACATGAATGTAAGATACCAAGTATTTCAAAGTACAAACTAATTTGATGTTTTCAACTACCTAGTTTTTCGATTAGGTTTGATACATAAATATGCTTTGACGTTATTTTGTCGACCATATTTCCCATGTGCAAATTACTCAGGCAAATCATTTCGTGTATGTATTGTGAAAATATATGCTCTCGACTGAGTATGTAAAAGAAAAGATAAAAAAGCCTATTTCAAATAAATAACGATAAGAAAAGCGCAGAAACGTTTCTTTCAACATAGGTACTATAAATATTAGTATAAAAAATAAATAAGCAGCGCTACTTATAGAACACTATAAAGTCAAACTAATCAACGACGTTTCGGTATATAGTTTTCTTCATAAATTGAACTTCGTTTAGCTCTTTCGAGTAAGTAGCTAATTATAAGAATGCCAAAATCAGAATCATACTTATTAAATCATATGAAATTGATTTCACTTTTGAACGATTGATTGATAAGTTTTTTCAAGCTATACTCAAAATTCCATCATCTAGATAGCTAAATCGTAACTTGGAGTGTCCGAGTTGAGTGTTCCTAAGAAACGGAATCAGAAGCAGACATCCATAATGACAATGTAATTCAAAAACTTTTAACAATACTACAAATTTCAGAAATTTAGGGTGTGCATGCTTGAACCTTGTGGTCTACGTCTCCGATTGAGATATTAATGTTGTTGAAAATGTTCGAAACAATGTGTGTTCGATTCTCGTATCAACGAGACAAACTTTTGAAGGATCTCCATTTCGTGGGCGTGAGTCAATAGTGGCAGAATTCAAACCTTATGCTCATTCACTATAAGCTACCATATTGTACGTGAATAATTCCTTAAATACCACTATCTGTTTTTTTTTCTCAAATTAAAATCCTGCTTAGAAATCTGATAATTATATATATAGCGATTATTTTAATATTTGAACTAGAAGTCTAGAGCAAAAATTCATTTTTCAAGATAAATTACAGAAATATTTATTCAGGTTACAAGAAAACAAAAACACACATGATATAGAAATATTGGTTTCTCGTTGTTATCCGAATAGATGGAAAAAATTGATTCGAAAAATATGATTAGTTTTCATGAATAATAATATAATGATCTAAACAATATTGATGTTCTTCACGTAAATCAAAATTCATCACATATTATGAATCCTTAGCTAGTTTTTCATGAGAAGTATTACAATTTTTAGACCTAAGATTTTTTCTGTATCCCGAAAATTAAAATAATTTAAATCCTCATCATGTTCTTATTAAAAGAAATATCAACATTTTTCAAATTGTTTTGTCTATACATTAGAACAACTGTCAGCAGCAGCAGTGTACAAGGACTGAGAAATAGGAATTCCTAATGTGCCGAGGAATTGTCAGTGTCGTTGTGATAATTCCTAGAGGAAATGGGAATCAACTATTGGCTCCTTCACAGTTCCACCATTCACGAAAGTCGCGATATTGCTGTTTTACAAATAATTTTTGCATGAAATCATTGATTCTCACAATTTTGCAAGTGAAAACGAGTGTAAGAACAAAAATTATCGTGAATATTCCATATTTTTACCTTTAGCATGCAAGGAACTGTAGGGGAACTGATGAGGAATTCCTAATCCTCAGTCCTTGGACACTCCTCGTTTTCTTTGTCTTTCTTTCACTATTTTCCTGTTCGCTCTTTTCCACCAAGTTCCTATTAACAACCATATTTTTTCCTAATATTTAATTAAAAAGATTTTCCAGAAAATGAAGGCAATTTTCTGGGCTTTCACGGTGTTACTACAATATTAAGCATATTCTCTTAATATTTCCAGCTTAAAATACTACAAATCTGGCATATTTTGATGAAAAAACACTAATTACAATTCGTAATTAGCAAAAACTTAATAAAAAAAATGGGACGATCTTCTATTACGTCTGTCGAACTTTTTCTGCAGGGGGTCTTGTATAATGGGGCGGGGGGGGGGTAGTGGAAGATAGTGTGATTGAGTTTAGCATCCATTTGGATGACCAAACGAGAAAAGAAATAAAGAACTTTGATTATTACCTTCCATCATCGTTCAAAATCGTGCCTATGAAGACGAAGAATACGAGAAGAATTCATTTTCGCCAACAAACACGAGTATCTAACTCTTTTTTTCTCATCAACCGTGGCATGATAAATCTCAGCAACTATAATAATAAAAGAGAATATCGAACATTTGTTTGAGATTCTAAAAGAATACATTTACATTCGATAATTGGATTGAAGTGATAACATTCCAAACTTCTATACTACTCCGCCATCTTGACTACCATGGCTACTGCTACGCTACCAATAGATCACGTTCATACAGAAGATAATGAAAGGCGTCTTGGCATTTTCTGTCTTATCTGGCTCGATGCTAATACAAACTCCAAAGACTATCGAGATACAGAACAAAATTTACGTTCTATTATTAATCGTCTTGAGAAATTCCATGATATAACAAAATGCCAAAAATATATTAGTGAACGATCGCAATATGAACGAGTAGTTATGATTGTTAGTGGCCGAATGGGAGAAAAAATAGTTCCTTTTATTCACAAACTTCGGCAAGTTATATCAATCTATGTGTACTGTATGGATAAGGGCAGAAACGAACGATGGGCTCTCCATTTTACAAAAGTAAAACTGCACTCAATGATTTCTACTTTTGCTTTATCATGTTCTTTTATTGATAGGTAAAAGCTGTTATTACTAAACTTGATAAACTCGTTTCTCGAATTAGAAAGGATCATAGAATTCAGAAAATTGTCGAAGAACCATTCTCAATTAATATTTACACTAAAGGTAAATCAACAGATGGTGTCAATGGAAAATTTGTTTTTTCACAAGTTCTTATTGATTGCCTTCTACGACTACAATACACCAGAAAGGATAAAAGAGAACTTATTAAAGTTTGTAAAAACGAGCATAAAGACAATCATTTTGAGTTAAGCAATCTTCACGAATTTCGAAAACATTATTCACCTGATAAAGTCTTGTGGTGGTATACACGAGATTCATTCTTTTACAAAACTCTTAATGCTGTTTTACGTACAGAAAATATTCATTTGACTTTTTTATTTCGTACATTTATCGCTGATATTTCTCATCAACTGAAATATTATCAAGCAAAGAAATCTCTACGGGTTTATCGTGGACAAATGATAACAAGTGCTGAGCTGCAAACTTTACAAAAATATGTGGGACAATTTATTTCAGTGAATTCATTTTTTTCTTCAACTGTTAATAAGGAACAAGCTCTTTCGTTTCTGAAAGTTCCTGGTGATACAGAAAATTTAGATGCAGTATTATTCGAAATCGTTGCTGATCCTAAAGTAGCTACTTCCAAACCATTTGCTGATATCAGTGCATTTAGTGAATTTCCGGGTGAATCAGAAGTACTCTTTATGCTTGGTTCTATTTTTCGTTTGGATAGTGTAGACCGACATAGCTATGGTCACATATCGATTATTCGAATGACTTTGTGTAGTGAAAATGAGAGTGATTTGAAGAACGTTCTCATCGATATGAAACGCGAACTTGGCAGTGGTCAAACAAATCTTCGAACGTTAGCAACATTATTACGTGAAATGGGTAAATTTGATTTAGCTGAAAAATATTTGACTCGGTTGCTGAAAGAACTTCCGTTAAATTATCCTATACTTGCTGACTTATATCAAGAACTCAGTAAAGTTGCAGCCCTTGCTGGTGACTATGACAAGAGCGTTAAATACCGTCAAAAATCACTCACGTTGAATACTGATCAACTTCATAATCGAACTTGTAAGCTCACTGAAAGAGTCTATTACCTTAAAACGAGTGTTCGAAGTAAAAGTGAATAATTAATTATAAAAACTATAGAATTTTAAGAATTCAAAAAGAACAAAACTCGCAGAAAAACCATTATCAAACAACTATTTTAGAAGTTTAAGTTACTTGCCGATTAGAATTGATGCGACAGAACTATTCTATATGATCAACCTGAGCTTTAAATCATACTTTCTGAGAAGATTGCAGCTAATACATATGAATTCAGTATATTTTCAAAGAATATTGAAATATTATCTAAAATAGTGCTGATATTCTTTTGCTTTTATCATATGATCTTGTTCATTAGCATTTATTGAGTAATAATGATTTGTATAGTTCAACTGCATATTCTGTTATTACTATTACATTTATGTGATGATTAGAAATTCACTTAAATATGAAGCATTATATTTTTCGGTAAAAACGTTGCATCTTGACTCGCTTCATGCGATTCACTTTTCGTTCATATTCTTTAAACAAAATATGAATTCTTGAATGTTCGCCATTAGTTTCTGTCTTCTTTAAGGGTATCACTACCTCTACTTATAATCATTCAAGTATTAGGGAGAGAAGATCAGGCTATGGATTAAAGTTTGATTTCTCTCTCATCACAAACTAACCCAGACGGACATCTCGTTGGAATGTTTAGAAGCATTTTGTTAATACAGTTCTACGCTGTAAATTAAACTATATCGTGAAAACATATGACCCAACATACATAAACAAAAACATCAGTTTTAGGGAATTAGCAATGATGGGCATATCGCGTGTCACATTTTAATCCTACAAGGATTTAGCTAACAACTTTTATAAAAATAATAGAATAATTTTAATCAGTTTACGCATATTTTTTTCCTTAATGAAAAAATGTTAAACGGTTTGTTCACGTAACGCAACAATTTGCTGATCAAGTTTCACAAAATTTGTTTTTTTGAACAGACAGATATAAATACATTATCAAATGTATTTTTTGCGCTGTTTAAGAAGTTGGCATTTTTTCTTTAAAATATATTGGGTTCCAGCATCAAAATCGGGTTTTAAAATTTTCAAAAATTCTACTTTAACTTTCCTAACCGAGATTGTTTTCAAAAAATTTTCAGTAACACACTATTCGATACAGAATGTGAATCAGTGGCGACGGAGCGTCTTAAATCTAATTGAGGTTTATACGGTCCCTCCAGCCGAAATTCTACAGCCAAAATTTTATTTAAGCGTCCAGCAAATGTGATTTTTTTCTACGTCAGTAGATGAACAAAAACTGATGAAGAGAGATATGACTAAAAGCTCCAACACCCAGTTTTCTTTGTTCGTTCTTGGATCACAAGCTACCACGCGTACAAAAGTATTTCGAGATTGCCAAGATTGAGAATCAAACAGTTTCTGCATCGAAACTAATGTTCACTTCTTCTCGGGTCTAAAAAGTACGGAAAACATTATTCCATCCAACAAAGTCCGATGCGAAAAATTCGAACTTTGAGACAACTGCATAAAATCATACGAAATTCAACACAATTTTTCGTGAAGTGAAAGTGGTTTTTTGCAGATTTCTAATAAGTCTGTTCTTTTGCAATCTCTTCGGGACAAAAGAGATTTCAACAAAAAGTGATTGAATATCGTAGGCGTCCATGCTCGTGACATTTGCTCAAAAAAGTGAAGCTATATGAAAAGAGTCTCAGTTTTAAAAAAAAAGTCTTAGGATTCATACGGATGCTTACGCCGTTCGTACAGTCATTCAATTTCCGTGGAGAGAATGACTTTTTCACATTTTGAAAAATACTACTTGTCTTACAGTTTTAAGGAAAAAAAATGTCTTCACATTCCATTTTAAAAGCGATTAGTGAATACTTCTACCATCGAAGCAGTCACGCGTCCCATGACTATTTCAAAACGAAGCTGTTTAGAAAATTTCTCAAGATCTTTTAAGTTGACCATACTGAGATAGCTGTTAAATTTTTGTGAAGCAAAACAATTTTGACATTTCTATAGAATTCGGGTTAGTGCGAAGAAGCTATTCTACTCCAGATATCGCATAACAAACTCTACCTTCCAATCAGCATAATACAACAATTTTCGATTATTGAGGAAGTCACCTCCTATTCGGAACACCCATGCACAGATGCATAAGAGGTTTGGACACAATATATTTGTGAGGATTTTAGATACAAGAGATGCGTGCACTGATGGAACTACGCTTTATTTAGATTCTTTATATCATAAACCGTATCGTTCACATACAGATCACACGTTTATGTACCCATCGAAGAGAGAGAAGGAAAGAGAAAGGCTAATAAATCGACAATAAGAAGAAAGACTATGATGTATACCAGACATATTGATATCATCACAATATTCTCGTAGGATGTCAAGTTCAAAGTTCCGTGATACTCGAGCCTCACAGGTCTTATTGACTCGGCCGCCACTGAATGTGATTCTCTATTAAACAGTCAATTTACGTTTGTTTTCCTTTCGCAGAGTAATTGATGAGCCCTTTGTATAGTTTTCAATTGACTGTAATTGCATTCAATGAACTACCGTTTCGATGTAACAACTTGATTCTTACATAGAGCGACAGATGCATGACAATGATCAATTTGCATGTTTACCTTGATGATATACGGTTCTCTACTAATACTACCGTTGTTTGCGGTGCATCTTGTTTTTACTTATCTCCTCCGAACTGAACGATATAACAGCTTTGCATTACTCTTCATATCCGTTTATTTTCTTTAGAATTATTTATTCGACGCTTATTAATAATTTATCGTTTAGTTTTAGCTACAATGCCGATATCAGAATTAAAAAAGAACGGTTATGAATTCCATAATATACAATTGATGCAACCAACTGAAACAAGTCCTGTTGGTCTTAAATTAACTAAACAACAAAATCCATTGCAATATATTATAACAGCTGTTGCTAAATACACAAAAGCTGATTTAGCTGGTCTTAAAGTAAATGATTGGCTTATTAAAATTGAAAATACTGACATTCGTACAACTGAATTTTCTGAAGTATCACACACTATTCGTGATTTATTAACCAATGCTGGTTTAATTAATATGGTTATAGCACGAAAGAAAACATCAATATCACCATCAAGTTTGATTCTTTTTTCATTCTATAATCTTAATTTACTCATTATTTTTATTGTATAGCATCGGGAGAATACGATAAAAGAGATATACGCCTTATTGTATTAAACGAAGCAGCAGGATTAGATTTCAATTCGTTTATTTCAGAAAATGATAGTCAACTCCAAACACATTTTATTAGTAGTGTACAACCATTATCATTGGCTGATAAAGCTGGTTTACGCGATGGCGATCGTATATTAACAGTTAATGACATTGATGTAACACATGCTATACATGAAGATGTTTGTCGTATGATGCAAACAAAAAAACCTTTACAATTAACAGTTGTGAATGATCCAAAATATATAGAATTAATTGAAAATGTCAAACGTAATCAAACTATAACCGAAGGTAATACACATGACAAAAAAAATTCACCACCCCTCAATCATGAAACAGTTGAATCATTAGAATCGGATAGATTACATCGGGAATTGCTTTCAATTTTCTTTTTGAATAAAATAACATTCATTGGTTTTCTTATGATTAGATTCAACAGTTCGTTCTCGTTCACCAGCTAGACATGTTTCAAGTGATCCAATTAGTGATTTGAAAATTTCACCTAGTAAATCTTTATCTCCGTCGCCACCAATTGAAGATGAAGATGATGGATTATCAAAACATCGTCGTGTTCTATTTACTGTCGGTAAAGTATCAATTAAAATAAAACATTGTATTTTACGAAAAGATCCAACATATAATGGTTATGGTCTTGTATTACGGTATCAAAATGGTCTTCATTTAATTGATCAAGTCGAAGACGATTCGCCAGCTTATATTGCTGGTCTGCGTGAAGATGATATTATATTATATGCTGATAAGAAAAATGTTCAACAATTAACACACGATGACGTTAAAATACTTATTCGAAAATTATCAATAAAAAATATGGATATTGATTTGATATTAATGAAAAAATCTGACGTACCACGATATAAAAATTATGAGGAAACAAATTCCATTAATTGGAAACTGATATTCGATAATATATTGAATACTGACACAATACCAACTGAACAGTCAACATCGAGTAGTATTCATTCATCAAATGATCAAAAAAAACGAGTCATGTAAAACTTCATCCACATCTCCATCTACCCAGGAGATCAAAACATAACGGATATCTAGTTACGATTGTTTATTGTCTTTTTATTATCATTCCATGTATCTTCAATAATAAACATGCGAAAAAGACGTCTTGAGTAACATTCTTTAAGCTTGTTTATATTTCATAGTGTCAGAATTATGTTTTAATTTACCACAATTTGAAACATTTATCGATTCTATTCTCTTGAAACAGTAGTGACTTGACCATGAATAGTTCAATGCATTTCTGCCTTCTCCATTCCCAATATAAATTGTCATGTGCCGCCGATTCATATAGGATTTTCTTTGAAGCGAATGCATCACCAAAAAACAAGAAGATGATTTCATTTGTTTGTTACACTTATTATTATGTATGATGATTACTCGTCTATTGGATAAGTATGATGACATCTAATAGGAATAGATAAACTTCTGTCGAATAATTAAGCTGGCTATCGTTTGTCACAATGAAACTATAAATAGTCGAAAGAAAAGAATCACATAGTATTCAACGTTTACAATTATGCCTCCTTGTTTCGATAATGCAGATTCAGTTACGTTAGTATTATTTTGTTTGATTGAAATTTCATATAAATTTTTGATTTAAATTGCGTTTCGATAGATTTCGTAAACGAGAAAAACTTGTTGCACTATTAGGTCGAACTGATACCGGAAAAACAAGTGCATTTAATATAATGACCGGCCTTTCTCAACGAATCGGCAATCGAATATCAAGTACTACTCAACAATGTTTTTCGCATTCAAATTTTATTGATACGCCTGGTTTCGGTGATACTCGTGGTGGTGAATCATCTCATCTTTCTTTAGTTGATTTTTTTATTTCACTTTCATCTGGTATTGATGTTCTTCTTTATTTTGTTCGATTTGGAGCAATGAATTCAACTGATCTCGATCTATTTGTGGATATATACAAACGAATATTATCAATAGAGGCATACTCTAATTCTTGTCTTGTTGTAACTGATTATTCATTACCGAATCTTGAACAAATAAATCTTAATGACAATGAAGAAAGAAAACATCTTCTTAAACAACTACATGAAAATGATAAATATTCATATGTACTGAATAAATTTGATAATCGAGTTATATTTATTGATATATCGCCATTCGATTATAGAAGACGAGAAATATCGAAAGAAGTCATAGAAAAATTTCTCGCTTCATTTCAACCAACAAAACGTTTTAATTGTCAAAATCTTCAAGATGCATATCGGCTTCTACGACGTACACAAGAAATGGAAACACGTTGTTTAGATTTTAAAACTGAAATCGATCAATTGAAAACACAAAATCAACATTTAACACATTTATATGAACAACAAATACGACATTGTAGAGATTTAGAAGAATCATATCAACGTTCAACAAAACAATTAGAACAAGTACATGAACAAACGTTATTAACTATTGAAAATAATCATATGATAACAATTGAAGAAATGAAACGACAAGAATATCGAATACGTAATGAAGTTAAACAAGTACGAAATCAATTAGAAGAAATAGAACGTGATATGGAACGAAGTTTAACATTTAGTGTTGCTTCTTATATTCCATTTATTAATATCATAACAAATATTATTGAACTGAATACAAAACGACGTATCACACACCGTATTCGAAAAACATTGCATACAAAAAAGAAAGGATCGTGAAGAAAATTAAAAATAAAACGTTAAATTTAAGTTGTATGATAATGTTAAAAATTAATAAATAATTATTTTTGTACTAGTTTTGTATAATTAGCACAGATTAGTTCTAATTAAATATTTAAAAATTTTGATGGTCTGTTTCCATCGATTTAATCACGAGAGAATATTTTGTTTGAAAATGTTCCTTTTATTTGTCGAAACCATCAATATTTCATCAAAAGGAATTTTACGAAGAACAAAGTTTCGGATATATATTGTCTATGTATTTCAAAATAATAGAATTGAGAATTTTTTCGTTGAAATGTTTTTTTTTTAATTTTGAAATACAGTTTTTCTTTTGCCGCTCAGCAGATTCTATACTAATAAGAAAAAGAAAGAAATTCTACTAAGATTGCAAATTATTGTAATACAACATTCACTGTATACTATTTTAAAACTTGTAATTATAGATACAGTATAGAGAAAATAAATAATTTATACGGGAGTTTTTCTATACGTTTATCAGGCAGATCTTTTTCAGAATTGTCAAAGTGAAATGTATGTCGAAGTTATTGGATAATTATTTAAGTTTTTCTTTGATAGTTCAAGTTCTCCTGCTCTATACTTTTTCTCTATAACGAATCGATTCATATTGAAATATAGCATGATTGTATCAAACACTATCTAAAAGGAAAATTGACGTATAAAGGTTTAAACTGTATACTTCGTGATTCCACACGCTTTACTAACACAATTTTGTCTGTTCATACAAATGATAAAATCATTGATCTAATCTTTGAAAGTATTCAGCATCCTGTTCTTTATCCTGTAGTTAAAATTTGTTTTTGATCTACAGTTCAACAATATTTTTATTTATTATTTTAATATTGTGACTAACATAGATTTATGTTATCAAGTTAGCAGTATGATTACAGTCCATACTGAGATTATTTTAAGTTTTAATTATCAGTTTCGTTAAGAAGAACTGATCGCTTGTTTAAAAATATCTTGTTCAATGATCATATAGATTTGAATACGAAAGGAATAGATTGTTTTTGAAGACTTTAATGAATATGGAAATCTGTTGAATCGTATGTTCAATATAAACATGTTATTCTATTTGGATTTCTTTATACGTATAACTAATTAGTTGTATCTACTACTACTACTATTCCATAATCATAGAAACATAAAATTTGAGGCAATTTCGTTATAATAATTTTCTATAAAAAAAAAGTTCATGTCTACGTTGATTTGACTGGTGGTAATGTACATTCAGCTGTTTTAATGCGTAATAATTCATAATGAGCAGCAACGAATTGTCGAGTAAATTTGACAAGTTCATTTAAATTATTATCATTTGCTAATCGATCAACATGCTGAAAAACATAGAATTCATCAAGAATATACATCGATTTTGGTGGAACATAATGAAACGTATTTGGTTCAGGATCAGCATGTAATTTTAATCGTCCTTGGTCTTTCAATGTTTGTTCTGGAGTAAATGCCCAAAAGCCAGGTACGAACGATGGCCGAACGCCCAGTGAATATGCAAGACAATTCAAAGCCACTATTTATGTATAAACAATTTCTCATGTGTATTAAAATAACAAGAAGTTACAATAATTTCTTACCATCACTGTAAGGTACTTTTTCTGTTGGCCAATGATTTTGAAAAAAGGAATCCAGTTTAGGATACATCATTTCCATCATAGCCGCACTAAGAAAAAAACCAGCACCACCTGATGGATATGAAATGGTTTGAACTACTTGATTCTTCTGTCTATAACATGAATACTCGAATGGATTACCACCTATAACAAGAGCTTCCGTATGGTTAAAATAATCAAGACGCTTCAGTAAATGCGGTACGTTAACAAATGTGTCACAGCCTGCTAAAAAATAAAATTTTGCAGTTTCCTTATGTTTTTGATAAGCTATTTGCATTCCTTGATATAATTTTTTCATGTTAGACATATAGTTTTCTCCAGCGCCTTCAATAACAGTTATAGGTAATGGTGAATATGGTATCGAACTAAAAAAATATTTATGTGTAACACGTGATAACCATGAATCTCGAATTGCTATTGCACGATTCTGATAAAATGAGGCACCTGTATAAATGATAAATACAATATCACTTTCTACGTGTTGTTTAGCTGAAATCCATGTATTGCGTGGTGTTGGAACAATATCACAATAAGCTAAAAGAATGTAAATCTATATTAGTCTCATAGAATAACAATAGATGAAGGCTATTCTTTTTATTAATACCAAAGTAGATATTTTCATAGAATAGGTTACTGAATAAAATGTGAAAATACAAGTATTTTCAACATATCTGTCATTTGATTTAGTGTAAAAATCGGAAATTTTGTCTAGAATATGTGAGGAAAAGAAAGAAAGTAGAAAATTATCTCGAAATGTGAAGAAAAATGGCAATCCTAATTTCTGACGGAATCATTCGTCGGTATTTCACTGGAAAGAACTCTCAATGTTTTTATACTCTTAGTAAATTTCAGTATTCGTATAGTCAGTACCATAGTAGAAGTCAAATCCTACACACTTACGGCGAAGTGCATTTAAACGATGATTTTTGAATTCAATATTTGTTTGTTGATGTGTATCATTATTTTTGTCATAATCACAAATGAAACTCTCGCTGCTCAGATTACTTGAGTGAATCTTCACATTTGTTTCATTTCCTGTAAGCAGTTTTGTAATATCATTATTTGTGTTGCCATTTGTTTGCCAACGTTTGAAATCTATTCCAACAATTATTTTGTTAAACGTAAATGGATGATGAATTGAGAAAACCAAATAAAGAGTACAAAAAAGAAAGATAATTCCAGAAAGTATTTGAAGAGTAAAAGTAGATGATAAATTTGAAAAGCAATTTGGCAATGACGGCATCATGAATGCTAGTCTTCAATGAAGGAATAGAGAATACTAGTTTCGTCGTCTTATAGGCATGTCCACATTTTAAATTTGAATAATGTAAACAAAACAATGGATATTATCAATGTGGTATGCGTACAAATTCATTGTGAGAAAAAGAAAAATTCTCTGTTCGTTGAAACAATAAGCAAAGGAAAAAAACATGTGCATGATCCTTATCAACCGGTTGATTTTGACGTATTCTGTGGATTGAAAAGCCTGTCAGGAATCAATGTTTAACATACACATTTTTAATTTGCACTACGTCTCTTGTGATGGATTTATGTGAAACTATAAGTGTTCTTATTTTCCTGTGATGCTTTTTTAAATGAACTATTTTTTAAAAAGGATTAAATTTCTGTTGACGAAAACATTTCACTGAGCATGCTAGATTTATTCTAGTAGAATTATCCATTTAGGAAAACAAAGCAAGACACACAACACCGCAAAAAAACACACTGAAATGTTTAAGTAAAATCAAAAAAAAGACGAGGGGTGTCCACGGACTGAGATTTTGGAATTCCTCCTCAGTTCCCCCACAGTTCATTGCATACTAAAGCTAAACATATGGAATATTTCTAATAATTTTTCTTCTTATATTCATTTTCACCTGCAAAATTGTGAGAATCAATAGTGCTGTGCTCAAATTATTTAAAAAAAATAAATGATTTCACTACTTTCCTGAACGGTGGAACTGTGAGGGAACCAATGATTGATACCCATTTCCTCTAGGAATTATCATAGCGGCACGGACAATTCCTCAGCAGACCAGAAATTTCTATTTCTCAGTCCTTACACACTGCTGATAAGATGAACACCTCCTTTAATGAACACTTTTTGCACAGTACCGTTAGCGTTCATCTTAGGGAGGTTTTACTGTAAATCAAAAGAATATGAAGAAAAGAGATGGGCTAATCCTATGGATGAAAGAAAATCAGGAAACTATTCTGCAAAGAACAGATGATTATTAAATGAATATTCTATCAAAACGACTGAGACATTTGATAAGAATGGTATGAAGATAGTAGAGTCCTGCGGGAACGACTTTTATTGTTCCCGTTTCCCGTTCCCGTTCTCGGCGAACAACTAACTCTTCCCGTTCCCGCATTCCCGTTCCCGAAAAATTTATTTTTTTCCCGTTTCCGTAGTGCTTTGATACTTTCTATTACCAGTTCACGTTGTGAGACTAAAACAAACAAATCTTATGTCACACGCTAGCTTATCATGTCATCACAGGTTTCACAATGTGTTTTTCGTTAAATTTAGAAGAAATTTTGGGTTGTAGGCTCCTTGGATTAACCATAAAACTGACGCTTCTCATTTTCAATATACATAGTTTTTTCGATGAATCTAGTCCATATAACATTACGGGAATACCAATTTTTAAAGTTGTTCCCGTTCCCCGCGGAAAACGAGACGGGAATTTCGGGGAAAAGTCGTTCCCGCAGGACTCTAAAAGATAGATATGATAATATACCTGCAATAATTAAAAAGATATTGTATTCATATTACCAACATATACTTCAACAATCAAGACATTTAAATAATATTTTGCAACGTGAACGAATTGTCTAAAAATGATGATATAATGTTAGTAAAGTTATTCAGAGAAATAGTACTCGATGTAGTGTTAGCTTTAGCTAAAGAATCGTTTTATTGTTAACAGAAAAACAGAAACACGATCAAGCGAGCAGATAAAAATTCAACTGACTTTCGCAGAACAACGTGATTAACCCTCTCTTCTTTTTCGCGCCTTTTTTTTATCCAATAACAGTAGTAAATCATTCTAGAGAGATGAAAACTCATGATATATTGAAACGCACTATCTACTAACATTAGTCACCGAAAAAAAATGACTAAAAGTCTCGATTTTGTTTTACTTTTATCTCTGTATCATGAAATTTATATCTGCATTTTTATAAGGTGGGTATAGTTGTAATTTTAAACGTATTTCAAACTCTCTCAGAACTAATTGAAAATATTCACGAATGAAAACTATGTCAATTGGATTTTGTGATGAAAGAGAAGAACGAAGGAACTAAAACATTTTCATCTTTGATATATAAACTAGAGCCTATTTATTTATTTAATAACAGTAAAATCAACAGACCTAGAACGAAAGAAATCTAACTATTACTTAACCATTATGATGAATGATAGATGACAAACAGGCACCTGTACTTCAATTGATTCTATTTAGTCAGTGTGCTTTGTCTATTGGCGTAGTGAGCATAAATCGTAGCTGCTCTCATATGATATTCTTGATAGATTTTATTATTTTTTCTAACAAGTTTCAGCGATAATATATTCAGTCGTGCATGATTATCTTACCATTGTAGCATTTGTATGACTTCGATGCTCATTCCTGTTGAAAAGAAAATACAATAATTTCAATGTCTTTAATGAAAATCGATCTTCACTAGGAAACAACATGTTTATTATACTAATAGTATTAGTGATATAACAAACATCATGACATACTCAATGAATCCAACGCTTGTTGATAATATGGAAAATATCATAAATAAAGAAACGAAAAATCGTTGAAAATTCGTTGTATAAGACTAAGAATGAAAAATTGACAAGAGAAAATATAAAAAATAACTATGGTATATCGTAAGTAACTCTGAATACGGTTGGAACTTAAAAAAAACGAATATAAACAATAATTAATTAAAGTTGCTGAATATCAACTAATCTGAAGAGACAGATCAACTTGAGCTTGTTAAATTGATTTTTCGAAACGAGAAATATCGAGTCGTTGTTGAAGGTATCGAAAAGCGTCGGAGAAAACATTCATTCATTCATCTGTTCATAGATAGCTTTTTTTGTTGGAAGCGGTTTAAAACACTAAAAATTGTAAATAAGTACTTAAAATTGGTGAATAATAGGAAAAACCTAGGAGTTTTAATGTATTGAAGTATCTTTGACACAGTCAGTTGTCGTCCTGAATTCGTTAAATATGCACTTGAAGATAATTTTTCAGGAGTTTTCTTGTCCGTCAAAGTAATTATGATAGTTATCTTTCATATGCTACGGATTATTATATTTTTACAAAAAATACATCTGTTTATTGATAAAAATTCTCAATTTCACTACAGTTGAAAAAACGATACGAGTGTTGTCAATATTCTTGAAAATACTCAGTTAATCTTTGAGCATTAACTTTTTCTTAATATTCCATTCATTTGAACATTGAATATTGTATTCTAGAGATTCTTTTGAGAGAGCAATCCAATTTGTCGATTGTAAGGTATTAAAGTCATGTAGTTATTAGGAATACGTTTCGAATAGATCCTATCGTTTCCGGTTGTGAGATTAAACCGCCTGAAAGAAAATAAAAACGGTCAGATCTGGACGTTGCAGCCGAATCGGAAACGGAAGGAATATAGTTGTGATCGTGCTCCCGTGAAAAGGCGTCGGAAGCCTTCTCAGGAACCTTGCCGGAAACGGCAGCGCGATCCTGGGATTTCATCCGGTTGCAAGAATCAGCCGGGAAGAAGTTGAAAACGGTAGCCGTAACCGGTCCCGGAATACTGCATCCATGCTTTTGTCGGAATTTCACCGGCACCAACAGTTTCCCGCCGTACCGTTTGGGCCTGGGCACTAAAGGCACATGCAAAAGGAAATGATGAAAACCAGTGAAACCAAAACAAACATCAAAGACTCATAAATACACTGGTGAACCATAATAGTCAACTAAAAAATATAGAGAACAAGTTTGAATTTATTGTAAACAACTTTGCGAATATCAGTCATGTGAAAGAAATGATCGAACGCACTAACGATCCTTTTTCTTTTTTCTTCCCATCTTTCTTTCTTCGTTCGTTTATTCAAAAAACAAAAGCAAAGAAAAATATAGATATTTATTTTTCTCTTCGTTCTTTCCGCGCTTTTCTTTTCTCCTTTTTTTGCCGGTAAACAAAGCATCAAGTCAGGTTGCCTCATTATTACTCGTAATCATGTTACCCATTGTAAGCTTCCATCGTTGGCCTCTATCAACATAGAAGAATGCAGCTATTTGCATCGAAGCTTATCGCATGTCTCTACTCTCTTGATTTTAGATTTATTTGACAAAAGTTTCAAGTGATTGCGTCATTTCTTATGCTTGATTATAAAAGCCTTATTATATAATAAATTTTTATTACGTGCATCTTTTGTTTATGCCTTTTTTTCAGCTTCATTTATTATGTCATGAATCAAGTTCCCAAGTTGTAATTAGAAAAAAACGAAAAGAATAGAAAGAGAAGAAAATAAAACAGAAGAGAAACAGAGAAGGTGAGCTGCCACAAAATACGAATACTTTTGACTCACCTTAAATGATTAACATAAAGTCGATAAATGAAAAAGAATGACAATAGAAAAAAAAAGAGACCATTTGCTGACGACATGTACGATATTATTTACTGATCTATTGAGAAGTATCAGATTATTATTCATCTCGATTTATGTGTTATACGTTTCAGATGAGTCGTTTTTCAAGTAAGTGACTTGACTTAGTTTTGTTATATAATAAACATCAATCACATCGTTATAATGCACATATAACATAACACATACGTGAACTAATCCAGTAGTAGGACTTTTCTAAATTGAGATCTAGTCATGTTCAATGTGTATGACGACTACATGAAAAACACCAAGTCACTATCATCATATTTTTCTCACCTGGAAGCTTTGTTTCGCTCTTGTTTTCTACACTTTATTATAAATGTCTTTCACTGTGCCGTAATCTATTAAGTTTCTCAACTGTTAATTCTTCAATGTGATTATTGATCGTTTAGGACCAAAAAAAAAATAAAATATACTCAAGTCTATGAGAAAATGGTCAATTATGATTTTGCACGACCGTAAATTATATGGCACGGAATTCAGTATATGATATCTCTTGAAATTTTGAACAGCTATCTTCAAAATTTGGCATAGCAGACTAAGTATTGTTTTACTCTGCAAAATATCAAATATTTACTTGACCATAG